ACCGACCCAGAGGTTTCGGAGAATAATTGGTTGGATTAACTTTCTACAAAGTCCAGTTTTCAGAAAGTCCAGCTTATCAGACGTCCAGACTTTTCCAAAACGACCAGATTTTTCCAAAGTCCAGCTTATCAGACGTCCAGACTTTTCCAAAACGACCAGATTTTCCAAAAGTCCAGTTTTTCAGACGTCCAGTCTTTCTCAAAGTCCAGTTCTTCAGACGTCCAGTCCTTCTCGAAGTCCAGTTTTTCAGACGTCCAGTTTTTCAGACGTCCAGACTTTTCGAAGCCCAGTTTCCCTTACGCCCAGGTTTCACCTAAGCCCAGAACAACGCCCAACAACTTGGTAAATGAAGCTTCGTGGAAAGTCAAATTTCCTGTCGCGGATACCCATGCTGCTCAACACTACCATGGCTACAACCACATGTTCAACAATATACCAAGCTGACAGCATCCACTACTTTTATCAGGTTGTATATGCTTTTGTGTTTACCTGTACCTTCATCCGTTGTTCTCCCCCACACCGTGTTGCACACGGTTTTCCACGTCCCTACTTGGTTGTAAGGTCTAACTCACCACGCCTTTCAAAATTCTCTTAAAATTCTTCTTTTTGCTCGGGCCGGAAGGCCTTTCCACTACGCGTTCTCACCTAATCATACCCCGAAATCGATTACTGCTTTCAAGTCCACTAGACCCTCCCGCCATGTCTGATGTAGCCATTGCGTCCGACTCTGGGCCAGTGTGTTTACCGAAGTCCGCGGTCGGTCGCTGAGTCGAAGGGTTCGACTCATACCTTCCTCAGTTCAGTGGTGCCCCACTCAGTCGCTGAGTTGGGGCGGCAGTGTCGAAAGTTGTCAGCATTATGCTGCAACGTTCGATGGTTTGCTAAAAGGTGTACGTTACCGTAGCGCGGCGCCCCCTCCCCCGGAGAGGGGCGGAGCAGCTTTCGTATTTATCGACCAGACGAACTGACGGATTTTATTAGGGTTTACGACCAGGTCTGTGTTGGTATTGCGATAGCAAAAGCCCAGCTATCTTTTGCTTTACGCCCAGCAGCTTTTGCCTAAGCCCAGCGAGTAAGACCAACACTTTAACCTGTTCCCTTTTATACAACGATGAGTGTATTTGTATTCTAATGGTTTATACTGCCGATAAACTTTATGTTTATATCTTGTGTTCTCTATACCGAAATGCACTGGATTCTAATACACGATTGTAGAAACTACCACTGAACATTGTGTGACTTCTTGTCTAGCTTCTTGGGATCTCTTGCCATCTCCCGGTCCGTGTTCTATACCGGATGCAGGGTTGTCCGAGCGGGGCCCAAGGGGCACAGTCCAAGGTGATAGTGTGGCAACCCGAGCCCTCCTCCAGGATCTTTATAGTAGAGGATTTGGCGTAGGGAGACTATTACTTTCGACACCCATGGTTATTTTCCAGAAATCGTCGTTCTCATCGGCCCGAAAATCGGGCAACAAACGGTACTGAATTTTTTGTATAAATTCAACCTGAAACGACTCGGCAAGCCACATTTTCTGCGCTGTACGAGGTGCGATTGCGAATGTGGGTTTCTTTTATTAATTTCTATAGAAAAAATTGGGTTTTAGACAATTTGCACCTACTCCCACGGGTTTTCGAATGTGGCCATATGACTTGCGAGCCGTGTCTGTAGGTCTTAAAGATAACAAGAAAGAATTTAGGGTTCCAATCTCCGAAAAATTTCCCTTTTTTCAGATCAGCTTCGAGGCACTGTGAGGCTTGCCAGGTCGATATGGGCAATAGGATCTATGCGGGGGAGAAAATCAGGGGTACGCTAGGGTTCTCCCAAATAATCTCTGCCAGCCTGTCCTCTCCTCTTCCTCAACAATCTCTACTAGCCTGCCCTCTCCTCTTCCTCAACAATCTCTGCTAGCCTGCCCTCTCCTCTTCCTCAACAATCTCTGCTAGCCTGCCCTCTCCTCTTCCTCAACAATCTCTGCTAGCCTGCCCTCTCCTCTTCCTCAACAATCTCTGCTAGCCTGCCCTCTCCTCTTCCTCAACAATCTCTGCTAGCCTGCCCTATCTTCTTCCTCAACAATCTCTGCTAGCCTGCCCAATTTCAGAGCTCATCTCCTCCCTCTTCAGAAATAAGGTAAAGCTACGATCTCACTGCTCATCTACTGATCTCGCAAAACTTCAAACTCCAAATATCCCGCCTCTTTGGCCAATTCTCGCCCATTCTAGATGCCGGAATTGCGGAAATACGCGTAGGTCTCGATATCAAACTAAAACCTCGACAATTTTAGTGCAAAACACACCGGGGAGACGCCCGGTTCTCCTCAAAGAAAGCGACGTGTGTATCTGCGAGTTTTGCGCCAAGAAGGAACGCCTCGATTACCTCCCACATCACGCATTTTGTGGTGGGTTCCGCAAGTTGTCGCTGCTAGCCTGCCCTTCGCTCAAGAATTTTTTTATTCATGAAGATAAAAATAGAAATATAAATTTCATTGATCTCAATAACTTAATTAATTTAGAGTGCCTAGACGCGATTTTCCCGGCAGGTGGAAATCCAAAAAATGCCAAACCGTTTCCGGAATGCCCGGTTTGTCTGGAAAACTGTACGTTTAATCAGGTCGGCAGAGACAATTGGCCAATTTGCGGAATTGAGCGAATCTGTTTTTTTGTTACAGTCAGCTCTACGCATCTACCGTACACCCTTGCATGTGGCCAAGCGCTTTGCAGCTTGTGTTTTACGAAAAGCTGCCCAAAATCGTGCCCCATTTGCCAGCAACCGGCTGCGCGAAAAATGTTTTCAGGCATACAGTTTTCCGGTAATTTTCGTCGTATTTCATTGAATTTGGTGATTTTTAGAATTTATTCGCAGTGCGGACGGGCTTCGAATGGAAGAGCGAAATGGGGACACTGATAAATTGCCAGTAAACGAGGTAAAGAAGACTTTACAAATTTTAATTCTAAACGCCTACTTTTGTAAAAATTACATCGTCCCGTTGTTTTAAATGCCAAACTTTATATAATTCATTTGCGAAAATTCGTCTTTCTCGGATTTTCTATACTTTTTTTCGCTAAAGCTACATTTGGACTGTATCGTAACGTAACTAAAATGCTATATTTACCATTCAGAATAAGATTCATTAACTTTTAAAGGCCCATCTCGCTTCGAAAAACCAAGAGAAACCTGAACTTCAACTTTTTTTTTTGAAAATTGTTGACACTTTTGAAAAACCTGAGAACCTGGGTTTTCTACTAGACGAAAATAACAAGTATTAACCTTCATTATATGCAAAAATATGTAAGTTATTGTAATAATGTTTTAAAGGATGCTGAAACTCAAAAAAAAAGAATCATTTAGAAGCCCACCCCCTCCGATCTACACCAATTCACGCGCGCCACCCTCGACTGTTACGCCGAAATCACCCCGACGCTTGTCGCCCAGGTCCAAAATGCTGTGGCGGAGTTGGCAAAGGTTTCTATTATTTTTTGAGCTAAAACCAGACGTTTTTAGAAGTTTGAAACTTGCTGTAAACTTCTAAACACTAACGATCTCGATCTGGGTGTTGTCGAAAAAGCCTTCCCCACCCTCCAGCAAGCGACCATCGACTTCGAAACGATCTCCGAGAATTTTATCCCGGCCGCCCGGCAATATGTGACCGGGATACAGGTAATTAAATAGAAACACAATAATATAGAAAGTCGTTTAGGCAAAGTTACAAATTTAGCAGCTACATGAAATCCTGGACTCGATAAGCAACGATCTCGAAAACCCAACGATAACATGATAAACACGAACCTGCAGCTGCGCAGGCTCTTCTAATTGAATAAATCTGATCTTTTTAATAAAGAATTCGTGTAGAAATAGCAAAATTTTGGTCGAAATCGGCAATTTTTGGTGGAAAAATCTATATTTTTTGTATTGGTGATTAAAAATTTGTACATTTTTTTCAGTCCATGAATAGTAAAACACCATTTAGAAACACTTCCGCTATTTAGATTTGAAAAAATCGGATCCTAAAGATGACAAAAATGTCCCCCCCCCCGCTAACAGTCCAGAACCGAGCCGGCCGTAACGCGACCACGACGCATCGCTGTACTTGAAAATGCTCTAAATTTACAAACGCTTAGGGTCGACATTTACAAGTTACCTACCCCTTCGGCTCCTTTCCGGGGGGTGATCCGGTCAAAGCGGCTTACCAAAGCCGACCCCCGGCTGGCGAGAGTGCAGAGAGCATGGGCGATGTTTGTCTGTGTGTGTCATCGGGACAGAGAGACAGACACGCAGCGCTCCTTCACCGCCCGGGCCTGTGTCTTTCTGAATATCAACCGACTTCCCCCGATTGGCCTTGTATCGATTTGTGCTACTATTTTATCAACGACCATTTTTTAGTTTGCAACAACAAGAAGTTAGGTTTCTAAATTGCAATTGCCTGTTGAGCAGGTGAGACTGGTCTAATTAGAGCACATTTCCTGACAAGGTTTCTAAATTGACCTTTGAGCAGATGAGACTGGTCTAATTGGAGCACATTTCCTGACATTTTTGCATACGAAACCCTGAAACTTATCTTTCAAACAGCTTTTACTTATCTGTAAAGGTTTTACCTACTTTTTCTTACGAGTTTTAACGGTATTACAAGCGTATTTTGCCGCGGCCTTTCTAATGCGATTTTGCGAGTTCTTTGTACCAATGACTCACGCTAAAATCCTTCCAAAAAGTTCTTATTTTTACCGGAAAATCGTTCAAAACGGCGTTTTACCTACCAGATGCTTTCGAGGAGATTTTCACGCTTTTCTTGACTTTTGAATGACAGTCACGTTTATATAGTGCTTATTTAGAAAGTATTCTTATCAAAGGAACGCGCTAAAATTTGAGAAAATTGATGTCTGGATCAGGCAATCGACAAACTGTTTGTTTCTAAAAAATTTCCTACCGTTTTTAGAGAGTTCAGGCTTAATTCAACTTTCTTTTCTTGTTATTTTTAGCGTTACCAGCTTTCTATTCCCTTTTTTCAGATGGCCGACCCGAAGCGGCGTTCAGTGCAAAGCTGGCAGCTGGCCGTTGGCCCGATCACATGCCACGCGTGGAATAAAGATCGCTCTCGTAAGTTTTCTTGATTTTTCTCCTCAAAACCCCATCTCAGAACTGGCGGTGGCTTCCTCGGGCGGCAACGACATCCACATCTTCGAGTTTGTCAAGGGCGCCTGGACGAATACACACTTGCTAAAGGTTTTTGGTGTTATTATATGAATTTATGTTTCTTTAGGGCCACGATTTGCCGGTTACGGGCCTCGACTGGGCAGCAAATACAAATCGCATCGTGTCGGCCTCCCAGGACAAGAACGCGTTCGTGTGGACGTTCAGCGGGAAGGAGTGGAGCCCAAAGCTGGTCTTGGTACGTTTTGTGGCTTCTTCTATGTTTTAAATTGAATCCTTAGTCTTTGCTCTTTTTTTTCTTCTTTTCTTTTTTTCTGTTTGACACGTCTTATGCGGGCTGCTTGAAGAATACTCCCTGTTTATCCTATAACTTTAGTAATAAAACTGGGTGTAGATTCACATTTTGAATAGTTTCTAAAACCTAGAAACTCTAAATACATGTAAATAACGTGCACCAAATTATTTTGCTGTATTTGTGTATTTTTTTCATAGATTTGGCTACATAAAACAACCAGTTTAGCTTTTTTATGATGTTCTATGCAGAAATAGGAACTGCATGCAATTTTTGAAGGCGTTTTGATCATGGAAAAGCAAAAGCGGCGTAATTCGTAGTTGTTTTTAACGCGTCCACTATTTATCCCTATTTCCAGCAGGATTCTACTATTTTATCAACTTCCAGGTCCGCCTAAACCGCGCGGCAACCTGCGTCAAATGGTCGCCTCAGGAGAACAAGTTTGCCGTCGGCAGCGGCCAGCGCCGGATCTCCGTCTGCTACTACGAGCAGGAAAATGATTGGTGCGAAGAAAAATTTTATTTTTACAACCATTTTCCAGGTGGATCTCGAAGCAAATCAAGAAGCCGATCCAGTCGACGGTAAAATGCATCGACTGGCACCCGAATAACATTCTGCTCGCCGTCGGGGCGTGCGACTTCTATGCGCGCGTCTTCTCGGCTTATGTCAAGGAGGTACGTTGAAATTCGAGGGTCGATTGAAGCTTTGTAAAGATAGACAGGGTTTTCCAAAAACGGAATTTCAAGAGGCAAAAACATTTTTTTATATCTTTCGGGCATATAAAGATTCTTGCGTCGAAGCTGTGTTTCTCAAGAAAACGGACTTAAAAAAAGCGTCTTTGGTTTGTTGGAAACTGAAAAAGCAGAATCAAAACAAGAATTAGCAGGATTTCGAAAATCTGGCAAAAAAAAACTTCATTTCGGGCGCACTCTAGACCGGATTTTGATAAATGTATCCATCTTTTTAGGTGGACGAGAAGCCGCTGCCCAACCCCTGGGGTTCCAAGATGCCGTTCGGATCACTGATGACCCAGTACAAGACGCAGGGCTGGGTCCACCACGTCGCCTTCTCGCCCTCTGGCTGCCGTCTCGCCTGGGTGTGCCACGATGCGACCGTCGGGCTCGTTGATGCGAATGTCAGTAATTTTTATGACGGAAACCGCTCCTTTGAATAGAATTTTTATTTCCGTTTTATCGATCACTTTTATCCTTTTTTTGCTAATAATTTCGTAGGTTCTTTCGCATTATCCGGGGGAACTTACTTTTGTCTTAGAAACCAATTTTTATATCAATAGCAGTTTCAAATCAAAAATCAAAGTTTTGGAAGTTTTTCTAGTTAAAATGTGGGTTTTTGTAATAAAAACCTTATGGAATGACTTCCTATTAAGTTACTAGGCATTTCTAGATTAATACAAAAAAATTTGTCCCCCCCCCCCCCGCCGAGAATACGAAAGAGCCTCCCGGCAATCTCCAAATTCTTGCCCCGCTTTTCCCCCAAGCGCGACAAGAGCGGGTGATAGATCATTTTTGGAATCCGGGCTGCTTTACGCCGCTAGAAATTACGTTTTTTTTACACTAATTATCCCCCACACGACGTTTACCGGCTATCCGCTATCCCTCGAGGGCAAAAAGAACCGGCCATTGTGGTGTAATCCCGAGCGGCCATCTTTGCTTGCGCGATAAAAGGCGCCGGATCGATGGCTCGCGTGTGAATGTGCTCACGCGAGCACACTCACTCCACCATCTGTTTCGAAAAGCGGAAACATTTGTATTACGAGATTTTTCCCGTTCCAGATCGACAGCAATGCCTCGCACACACTGCGCACCTCGGGCCTACCCTACACCTCGATCACCTGGGTCTCCGAGAATAGCTGTGTGGCGGCGGTAATTTTCACTTTGAAGCTTTTGTTAGGTTCATCGGGCAAGACAATTTTTTTGTATAACTTAGAAATTTCGAAAAAGGAAAAGAACTTTCAAAAAGTAGAAATGTTGGTCAAAAACGGCCATTTTGGTCGTGAAATCGATATTTTTGCATTTTTCTATAAAAATTTGTAAAGTTCTTACGTTTGGAATAGAAAACAAAACAGTTAAGAAACGCTTCCGCTTTTATATTTGAAAAATTTAAGATCCTAAAATATTTTGTTTTGAAAAAAATTGAGTTTCTGTTTTTCGAAATATTTTAAGTTTTCGATTGTTTTTTTTCAGGGCCACGATTACTGCTCGGTGCTGTTGACCGTCCAAAATGGGCAGCTCGTCCATGTTTGCAAGCTCGACGTGCCGCCGATCCAAAAAGTAGGCTTACCGCGCCCTTCAGCACTTGTTTTTTAGGAAACCGGCATCAGCAGCGCGCTCGCCATGTTCAAGTCGATCGACAAGAAGTCGGACAACGAGGCCCGCGTCGACACGTTGCCCACCTTGCACCAGAATGTGATAACGTTCGTTTTGAAAGTATATTTTTATCGGGTGTTTTTAGTGGCATCCAGGCACACTCTGGCAACGCACAGAACATCCTCAAGTTCTCGACGTGCGGCCTCGACGGGCTCGTTGCACTTTGGGACCTGAAGGTATACTTTTCTGAAACGTCGAAACAACTGGCTACTACTGCGCAATTGGTTTTTAAAGCCCTGAACACAGCGCCCCCAATTTTCCAGGAAACGATTGAATACGTCCGAACAAGGGTCAGATGTTTGGCCTAAATAAGAGATTACACAATATACTGCATGCCCTGATGGTCTATAACTCGATTGAACGTTGAGTGTGAATCTAAAAGCAAGAGAAAAATCTAAAAACTTGCGAGCATGCCCTAAAAAAAGAAGATTTGGATGTTTTTTTGCAAAACTGAAAGAGTTGTTCTTTCGCAGCATCGGCCGGGGAAATCACAATTTTTGATGATTTCCAGAGTTAAACAGAAACGTGTAATTAAATTTTATTGCACTGCTTTTCAATGATTTAGTCGATTTTATGATTTCTTCACTTCGAATATGGCTAAAATTAACCATGAACTTTCGGAAATGCCTATTTCTTTGGTAGACGAAATTGGATTTTCATTTTTAGCCTTGCTTCTATTTTTTTCGCGGTTGATCCCCTTCAAATACAGTTAAAATTGGCTATGAAATTCCGGAATTGCTTATTTTTTTTGTTAGACTAATCTGGTTTTATAAAAAACATCTAAAAACTTTGAATCGACTACAGGAAAATTAAATTTACGAATTTTATAACTAGCTAGAAACTTTAAAAATTTTGGTGGAAAATCAATTTTTTTTTTGAGAGTTATGAATAAGGTTTTGTATGGTTTTCGCGTTTAGGAATAGCGAAAAAACCTTCTGAAAAGCTCTGCTTTCCCGGCCGATAATGCGAAAGCACCCAAAAAAAATACGTTAATACTGCTGCAGTTTGAGATTGACCGACCCCCGTTTTGACATCCTAAATTGATGGCGTATTTTCAGGAGGTGGCCGTCAAGTAACACGCTGTATCCCCGCGATCGACCGGCAGAACATTCAGTTTTTTTGAGCTTTTCCCTCCCTTCTACCATTACTGTGCAACTTGTCAGCTTGTGCCCCCCAGAATTTATCGATTTCACTCAATTTTGGCCAAATTTTTGTGCTGCCTTTTCTCTTGTGTGTGTATGTTGTTGTGCCTTCATTCCATCGGCAGCAGAATAATTTATTCCGCATCCGCCCGCGCGCTCATTCTGCTGCTCGCCCCCTCAGCTTGTGTTCTCTTTTTCCCCCTAAAAATCTCTCTAGCTTTACGCCGTGTATATCAGAATAAAACGATTGCTCATCTGGGGATTTTTTTTGGTGTTTTGGAAGCCTTTTGATAGGCTGAAATACTTTTATTTGTTTTCCTGATTTTTATTTTTATTTTACGTAAAACAACTTTTAGACGATGGCTGAGAACAATAGGGATATGCGCCGTCTCGAGCGCCTGGTCCAGTGCCGCTTCTGCCAGATTCGCTGTGTGTTTTGCGGATTTGGTACTTTGGAAATATCGGGGGGGGCTTTTTAGAAAAACTTTAACTTTAACAAGTTTTCCCTAGTTCCTAAGGCCAAATTTCTCTAGTATAAATGGGGGAGTCGTGCTACACGTTTTTTTACTATTTCTTACGCTTTTTACTACCTAAACTTACAAAATTCCCAAGCTTTCTTCATTATGAAAAATACGATTTTCGACAAAAGTTTCAGGCTTGTGAGCATTTCATGATCTTGAAATATGATCGAATTTTAACAAAAACCTTTTTTGAAGAATTTATATTGCCGCTTTTACAACTAGGACTTATGGGGACGGAAAGAATCGATTCTCACCTAATTTTCATTGTTCAGTCACCCCCGACGGCGCTTCTCGCCCATTCATCGTCAACGGACGCCCGATATGCCAGACGTGCATGAACCGTCGCAACGAGAGGGTGCTCCCGCCGCCGGTGTGTTTTTATCTTTTATCAAAATCGAGGGATGACCTCCGGCCTGTAATTCAATTCAAAAATAGCTTTAAAAGTTTGGAATTCCACTACGTCAGTTTCTGCTGATTTTTATTGTTTTTGATGTCTACGAATACGCCGAACTTTTATTAGATACTGGCAGATGTATCGGCGTAATAACTTGGGATAGTGAAGTTCGGAATAATCAAAATTCGAGCAAGTCAATCGATATAAATAAAATCAACAAAATGAACGTTTAGCTTCTTTTCAGCCGGCTCAACATCAGGTCCCGCCACGCCCGGATCGCTTCGGTGTTTGGCCGGGCGCCCAGGAAATGCTCGAACGCCTCCAGGACGTTGATAACGACCTGGCACGCCTCGACGACTTCTTTGGCCCGCATGCCGGCGCGCACCAAAACGCCAATGCACAGCCGCGCAACGTGCCGTTTTACGCGTTGATTGGTAGGGTTTTTGTTCGTTAATGGAAAATTAGGTCGAAGAAAATTTTCGAACGGATAAAATGGCTCAGATAAATTGTTTTAGATAAACTTTTTCGATTTTTCGATGACAAATTCTATTCTGTTTCTATTCAAAAATTCACATGGTTGAAAATTGTGCCAAAATCATCTGTTTGATCCTTTGATTTTGCATCGGGGGTCGCTTTTCAATTTCCCCCTTTTTCAGCGGTGCTTGAACTGCTCGGCAAGGACGGCAAAGACTGGGCCTTCTTCAGCCGCCCGCAATTCGAGGAACGCGTGCGCAACAACACGAACCCGCTCGAGTGCCCGCTGTGTATGATCCAATGTGAGAAATACGTTTTGAGCGTCTATCGATTTTTTTTTTCAGTCACAATTCCGGCCCGCACCGTGGTCCTGGAGTGTGGCCACGCCGTCTGTATGACGTGCTGCCCAAGGGTGAGGATTTGCAGGGTTTTTTGCTATAGAAAACGAAGATTTTCCTAGCGTTTAGGTAATCTATTTTCAAATTCCATAGGAAAAATTTGTTTTAAAATTTTTGTCATCGAAAAATCGAAAAGTCACGGTTACTTTTCAAAGAAAAATGAATATTTTTGACCTTTGTCCAAATCGCTTTTTTTGTTAGATTTTTAGGTACTTTTGCATTATTGGGGGGAGGGGGAAGCCGAGTTTTTTATTAGTCTAGGAATGTCTAATAACGTCATTAGTGGTGTTTTAATAGGGTTTTTAGTAAAATTTAGCTATATTCCAGGTGCAACAACTATTCGTAAAATTATTTGTGTCTTTTTTTGTATTTTTTAATGGGATCAGATAGTTTTTAGGGTTGGCAATGGGAAACGACGATTTAATAATAGTTCTAGCTTTATTAGGAAAATTGGAACCTCAGGATAAAAAGTTCGTGAATAAAAAAGACAAAAAAACTGTTCAAACTATCCTTTCAGATGTCTCACTGCGTCACGTGCAACGAAGAGGTCCGCCGTCGAACCCCTGCCGCGCCGTACCGTTACATGCCGTTTCCGCATCCTCGTTATGGCCCCGTCGGCGGTCGCTACCATCGCCCGCAGATGCTCATCCAGCCGCTAACCGGACGTGCCGCTTGGGACGAGCTGAACGGCTTCGGGGCTGGCATGGGCCTCGGCGGCGCCGGAGAGCCGTACAGACTACCACCACCAGCTGCTGCTCAGCCGGCAAACGCCGCCGGCGCTGCACAACAGCCCGCGCCCGGCGGAAACCCGTACGATGAGCTGAACAAGCGCGTCCAGCCGCAACGTATCCAGCAACACTATCAGGGTACGTTTTTCCGAGCCTGATCTTGTAACTCGGTTTCCGTTCTAGAGCTCATCGGTATCCTGCTCGAACTCCGTGGCGCACGCGCCCCTGCGCCTACTGCTGCTGCTGCTGAACCCGTCTCCACCCGGAAGTGCGTTTGTGGTCCTTTAGCAAGATCGAGGGAGCCTATTTGGTGATAGCAAGTATTTTAGTAGACTTTTCGATAAAATTGAGGTATATTTGAAAAGAAAAACCTGCTAGAAAACCTCGGAAACATTAAAAAAAATTGAATTTTAGCGGGAAACGTGTTTTTTACTCTTATTCGAGTTTGTCAAGCTTTTATTTTATTTTTTAGCGATATTTTAAATGAAACCCTATCTAGAAAACTTGTAAAAATATTTTAAAAATTGAATTTTTATCGAAAACCATGTTTTTGTACTAATCGGCAAGCTTTTATCGTGAAAATAGGAAAATACGGTGTGCCAACATTTCCGCCAAGTATATGAGAAAAAGTGAAAACCTAGCCAAAAAGTGTGGTCCACTCCCGATTCTGCGAAAAAAACCTAACTTTTTGCGCGGTTTTGGAAAGCTCTAAAATCTCGTTTTAATTTTTATTGACTTTCTTTTTTGCAGCGTGTCGATCAAAACCGAGCCCATCGACGAGGAAGAGGCGCAGGCGAAGCCCGTGGCCTCGGGCTCGGGCTCACGCCGTCGCCGTGGCATTTATGCCTTCGGCACGAAACGTCGCCGAACCGAGAATCTGCCGCAACCCGGCTCGAGCCGCCAGCCGACCGCCACCGTGGCCCCGATCAACCCCGTGCAGGCGGCACCGCCGCCGAAGAAGCCGAAGCAGGTCGAGGTGGTCGACATCAACGACGACGAGGACGACGTGCCGATGCCGGTTGGGGATGATGTAGGCACTTATCTGGCTTGCAGAACTTTTTCACGGGAATTTTTCAGAAGGTCGAAAATCAGAATGCCTAAATTTCATGTCTTAACTCAGAACGCATACAATACCGAAATTTCAGGGAGGAAATTCAGGGCGTGGATTAGGATTGGCACGACTCAAATATAACCATTCTGAAGTTTTTTCATTCTGAGATTTATGCATTTTGAAATTTAGACATTCTGTATTTTATTCATTTTGTGTTTAGGCATCCAGAAATTTTGGCATTCTGATTTTATACATCCTGAATTGAAGCATTTTATGCATTTTGATGGCAATTCGTTTTTCAGATCATAGTCCAGGACGCCGAAGACGTGCTAGAGATTCTGGTGGACGTCATTCAGTGTGGAGAATGCCCGCGAAAGGTGCGATCCACTATCAGCGTTCCAAATGTCGTTTTCAGTGCGATCCAAGTGACGTGTACGTGTGCGTGACGTGCGGCGAGCTCGACCTGTGCAGCCTGTGCATGTTCCGAAAGCACCAGAAGCTCCAGCACATGCTCCACGAGTACAACCAGGTCAAGGTGGGTGGTTTTAGGATGCCGCTACCTCTTTTTGCTATGGCTACAAAATGTCTTTTTTTTTTTCAGCTGATGCGCGACATTGACAGCGCACGCGAGCGCACCAAGACCCAGTACAATACCTACAACGACCTGATGCCGGCCATGATGCGCACCGTGCAGCAGAGCCTCGGCAAGCTGGAAGATGTGAGTTTGTTGGCGTTTTGCGATTTATCCCAAAAAATGATTCCAAGGGAAAATTTTCGTAAATTGGTGCTTCACGTTTTTTTACGTTCGCGCTTAAGATTTTTGGGAAACTTGTTTCATTTTCGAGCAAAATTGCAGTTATTTTATTTTCACATATTTTTGCTTTTTAGTCATTCGACTGGACGCTGGCCTGCGTCAACCAGTCCAAGACGCACGAGGAGGCCATGGAGCTGCTGCAGTTTTCGCGCCGTCTCGGCAACGACCTCGAGAAGTACAGCGAGGAATTCATGCCGCAGGCCCGTCGCTACGTGGCCCGGATCAATGTGAGTGTTTTTATTTAATTGGAAACTTAAAAAACTTTTTGAGATTTTGCGTTGCTCCGGCTTTTGAGCGAGCAACACCTAAATGCACGTTTTTAGGAACTGCTCGCCCGCACCTCCACCAAGTACCCAAAGCCGGCCGAAGACGAGGAGGGCCCCGCCGAGGAGACGGCCGAGGTGATGAACAGCGGCGACGACCTCGAGGAGATCGACCCGCCCGGTCCGTCGGGCGTCACGGCCACTTGCAAGCTGCTGCCGCCGCTCGTCGACTGATGTGGGCATCCGGCAAATCAGCATAACATGTTCTTCGGTACTGGGCTGTTAGCCGGGGGCGGAAACCTAATCCAACAAACCCTTTAGGTTTAAGAATTGGAAAAATATGTAAATTTTTGATTCTTTGGGAAGAAATATCAAAGATTTCCAGGTTGAATTTTGTTTTTCGTTACTAAAATGATTAAGAACGCTAGAAAAAGGCACTAGAAATAGCTCAAAAAATTTGCCAGTTAGCTTTCCTTCCTCCCCCCCCCCTCGCTAATAGCCCAGTCCCAAGTACCACGCCTTCTAGCCAGCCTTGCGATATTAAAACCAGTTGTCTCATTTGTCGTTCTCATTCTCCCCGTGTTTTAGCCATCGACGTGTTGTTGTAGAAGAATTTGTATTGAGAAGTGGCTTGAGCCTGTCTGGCTGACTTCCTGGTCCCTTTAGTTTTGACCCCCGTACCCTCGTATTTATGATCTACGCCAACGGCCCCGCTGTCTCGATCTATTTCCATGATGTGTTCAATTGTTGCCGATCGGGTTAATATAGTCTCTCTCCCTCGTGCCCTCAAAACCGTTTGTAAAACAACCACACACGCCCACGCGTTAATATTTGTACGGCCCAATATACCCAAAAATACAGCGTGTTTTCCGCTTAATCGATTACGACGTTATCCATCCATATGTAAATGTGTGTGTGTTCTTTCGGAATTCGAGCCGGGCAGTAAATGTTGTTTTTGAATACGCGTTCCGTTTGCAACCTTAGGCGACAATAAACAAGAACACCACACTAAAAAGGCAGCCTAGCAGAGATGTTTGGGGGAAGATCAGGCTCAAATCGTTGGTCAAATTGTCTCTGCTAGCCTGCCCTGGGACTCTGGAGGGGTCCAAATTGCTCAAAGTGTATTCAAATCGTTCACTCGTTCCTGATTGAATTTCCTGAGGAGACGCCGCGATTCCTCAAATTTTCTCGGCTAGCCTGCCCCTCCGAACTTGTTTACCACCATCATCCCATGACCGGCAAAACGGGTGTGCGCTGTTTTTCCGCACCCCGGGCACCCCATAAATCGATGATGGGCCTGAAATAGTCTGGCCAAGTGGGAGAGAGAGAGAGCGAGAGGGGGTAGAGAGAGAGAGAGAGAGAGAGAGAGAGAGAGAGAGGGGTAGAGAGAGAGGGAGTGAGCGAGAGAGAGAGAGAGGGAGAAGAAGCCGACAGACAGACAAACAGCATGCCCCGAGAAATGCGTACAGGATCCCCCACTTGCCCCCTACCAGCCCCGGCTGGCCCGGAGTGCCCTTTCGGCGCGTTTTTGCCATTTTAAGGGTCAGGGAGGGGTAGGGTTCTCAAAGAATCTCTGCTAGCTTGCCCTGGCTAGCGTTTTGAGCTAGAGCATTAGTGTATTTCTAACGGTGCTGGCAAATGAGAGGAGAGGGCGGGCTAGCAGAGATTGTTGAGGAAGAGGAGAGGGCAGGCTAGCAGAGATTGTTGAGGAAGAGGAGAGGGCAGGTTAGCAGAGATTGTTGAGGAAGAGGAGAGGGCAGGCTAGCAGAGATTGTTGAGGAAGAGGAGAGGGCAGGCTAGCAGAGATTGTTGAGGAAGAGGAGAGGGCAGGCTAGCAGAGATTGTTGAGGAAGAGGAGAGGGCAGGCTAGCAGAGATTGTTGAGGAAGAGGAGAGGGCAGGCTAGCAGAGATTGTTGAGGAAGAGGAGAGGGCAGGCTAGCAGAGATTGTTGAGGAAGAGGAGAGGGCAGGCTAGCAGAGATTGTTGAGGAAGAGGAGAGGGCAGGCTAGCAGAGATTGTTGAGGAAGAGGAGAGGGCAGGCTAGCAGAGATTGTTGAGGAAGAGGAGAGGGCAGGCTAGCAGAGATTGTTGAGGAAGAGGAGAGGGCAGGCTAGCAGAGATTGTTGAGGAAGAGGAGAGGGCAGGCTAGCAGAGATTGTTGAGGAAGAGGAGAGGGCAGGCTAGCAGAGATTGTTGAGGAAGATGAGAGGGCAGGCTAGCAGCGATTCTTGAGGCAGCCAGGGGTTAGTGCAATGTTTTTCCACAGCCCCCGCCCAAATGTTTTCATTCGCGACTATCATTGCACGGATCGGTCGTGTCGTCGGGCCTAGACGATGACTAATAGCTGCACCTCCTTCTGTTCCGCCTCGCCAACCCGATCTGTAGGAATCATCTTTTGCGGTCATTTTCTGGTGTAAGGAAAGTTACCGCGCTTTATCCCAGCCACAGTTTGAATTGCCAAACGGTGCCGTTCCGTCCGATTTTATCAATTCTCTCTCTAACTCTCTGTCTCTCTCTCTTTCTTTCTCACTCACTCACTCTCTCTTTCTCGTTCTCACTCTCTGCCCCAAATTTAGACAGTAGATTACCGGAAATGAGAGTCGGCCTCTGGGGGTGTTGCTATAGTACCGTACCCTACTAGTGACGGTAATTATCCCGGAACTCGTATTTTCTTGCTGATTACTTTGAAACTTGGACCATTTTCAGGCCACATTTTCCAAGTTATAAACCGTCAACAGTACCGCATCGGAATGACTGAAGCCGCAAAGGAGCAGGTAATTTTGGTGATTTTCTCTCTGAAGCTCTGCAAGTCTTGCAATTTCTGAATAATCTCTGCTGGCATGCCCCGCCCCTTCCTCAATAATCTCTGCTAGCCTACCCTTTCAGATTTTCCACGAGCCCGACGAAAAGGTTACGACATCCGGGGCGTTGGGTTTGGGGTCGTTGGATGAGATCGACGTGCTGGAGTTTGAGGTAAAGCGCCTTGAGAGAGAAAGAGACAGAGCTAGAGAGCAAGAGAGAGATAAAGAGAGAGCGAGCGAGCGAGCGAGAGAGAGAAAGCGAGAGATATTTCTTTTAAGGAAGAGCTAATGGACACCGACACCGACAGCGAGCCGGACATCGACGGGCTGGAGGAGGACATGCTTGGCGACCATCCGGCCCGGTACCAACAGATGACATGTCCGGGTTGTTTTGATGAGGTTTGTATCAGCTTTCACTCTCCGGAAATCCTGCTTGCAGGTACGAAATTGTCGGATGCACTTTTGCGTCGGTTGTTCTCGGGTGGTAGGTTTTTCGTGGGCGGGCGAGAGAGAAAGAGAGAGAGAGAGAGAGAGAGAGAGAGAGAGAGGGACGGAGGGAGAGAGAGAAAGATGGAGCTCCCTGTTTTTTCAGCACTGCCGCGAATGTACGAACCTATATCACAAGCCCATCGGCCATCTTACTTTTCTAGTGCTGCTCGACCAGGTATGCTAGCAGAAGCAATTTGAGGAATCTCAGGCCATTCCGTTACTTGAAAATTGCAGAAATACATCAGCTACCTGAAGAAGGTTGTGGATGAACGGCTAGCCGCCGAGGCCGAGCGACCCGGCCCATCTCGTGCCATTGCCACAACGAGAGTGCTGCCCCCGGACGGCTCGCCGTCGTGGATGTTCGACAAGTTTAGGCCTTGGAAATGAATGTATCTCTCTTTTATCTCTCACTAGCTCATCTCATTATCTCTGTCTCGCTCTCGCTCTCTCTTTCTCTGTCTTTCTGTCTCTCTCCCTCAAATTATGATCTCTCGCTCAGCCTCCGATTAGCCGATCAGTCAGCTAATCGGAGGTCCCGTTCAGTCAGCTCCCGTTCATTCCACACTTTTTCTTCGTAATGCGCTTTGCACAGAATTTTCTCGAAATGACGATAAACCGTGCCGAAAAAAGCAGCCCAAAATACCTAACAAGTAACCTTGTGGGGATGACCCTACAAGTAGCCCAAGCCTAAGCCTAAGCCTAAGCCTAAGCCTAAGCCTAAGCCTAAGCCTAAGCCTAAGCCTAAGCCTAAGCCTAAGCCTAAGCCTAAGCCTAAGCCTAAGCCTAAGCCTAAGCCTAAGCCTGCTCCAAGCCTAAGCCTAAGCCTAAGCCTAAGCCTAAGCCTAAGCCTAAGCCTAAGCCTAAGCCTAAGCCTAAGCCTAAGCCTAAGGCAAATTCAAGCCGCTCTAGCTTGGCACGGGACGATGCTCAGCAATAAGAAATAGCGTGTTTGAAAGAGCTTGAAAACGGCAAGAAGTCCAATCATAACCTACCTAAGCCCATGTGAAGCGTCCCTAAGCCTAAGCCTATGCATACCGACTTTGCTTTTCTTGAATTGCTCAGAATTCTCGGCAGTGCATCGGCTTTATTAGTGTCATTCGGGGGCGCGGAAAGACAATGATGACAAGGTGAATGTATAAAAGATGTTGAATACAGTAGGCATAAACAGTAGACGTGGTTCCAAGTGCTATCATTAGTGCATGGCCGAACGCCTCCGTGTCGCGCGCAGGTATGTGACGAAGGAGTGATTGCGACGGGGGCATGGGCAGTAGTGAGCATCGGCGCCAGGGTAGCCGGTCTGAAAATTGTGTGGTTCCCGCAAGGATCCCTGCTAGATAGACTGCCCTCTCCTCTTCCTCAACAATCTCTGCTAGCCTGCCCTCCCCTCTCCTCAACAAGCTCTGCTAATTCACCTCTCCAGGGGGCCCTGGTTTTCCCGGTTTTCCGCGATCTCCATCCTTCCCCGGCTTGCCCATCTCGCCCATTTTCGCGTCCTGTCCGGGAGCGCCTAAAACGCTTTAAAGGGACTATGACACCTCTTACCTTGGATCCCAACATTTCCCGGCTCTCCAATCTTCCCAGGGGCTCCGGGTTTGCCACGCGGTCCGGGCTTTCCGGTCTTGCCCCGAACGCCGGGTTTCCCCGGCGTTCCGGGGGTGCCCGGTTCTCCCGGTTCTCCAGGCTTTCCGGCTTCTCCTGCCGGTCCAGTGGGCCCTGGTGCTCCTGGTGCGACGTCCTGAAACGAGATTTTGATGTCACCAAGCCTTTAAAGGTATGGGTCCTAGTCCGTTCATTCAACCTCACCTTGCCGGGCTCTCCTTGATGACCTGGATTTCCTGGAGGGCCAGGAGGGCCGGGTGGGCCCTCTGGGCCTTCTGGGCCACCTGGGCACTCCTGGCAGGCCTGACAGCTACCGTGCTCATGGCGAAGAGATTCCGGGGCGATTCCTGGCAGGCCGGGAACGCCCTTGGCCCCGGGGACTCCTGGAAAATCATATGATTTGGGGCAGGCTATCAAATACTCTTTAGGGAGATGATTTAGGAAGGATGCCGAGGAAGAGGGAGAGAAAAAGAGAGAGAGAGAGAAAAAGAGAGAGAGAGAGAGCGAGAGAGAGGGAGAAAAATTCCTCGATCTCTAGCTTATGCCCTCTCTCTCTCTCTCTCTCTCTTTTTGCTAGGGCAGGCGAGCAGAGACACTTTGCAGAAATGCCATACCCGGTTTCCCCGGTTCTCCATCAGCACCCGGGGCGCCTTGGGGCCCCGCCGGGCAGCGGTCCTCCTTCTCGCACCGGCATTCCGGGGCTCCACGTTGCCGACGAGACTTCGGAAGCAGCTAAAAACAGATGCCCTAATGATCTCTGCTAGTTGCCAATCTCAGGTAAATGGTAATTCACCCACTTTGACCTCCACCAACGCTTCGGCCCCTCGCAGCCGCAGCTGCTCATTCCGGGAGGCGATCGATTCGGTGATGGTGTTAATCTGGAATTGGGGGAATTCGAGATTCCAAAAGAACCTCTGCTAGCCTGCCCTCCCTTCACAGCCCTTTTAAAAGCTCACATTATTCTGCAAATACGGAACGAATGCGAGGCAGATGACGAGTGAGGCTAGCGAGCCGGCCGCCGAGGCCCAGCCCAACCAGCGTGACATGCTGAAATCAATTTGGAGGAAAGGGCGGGCTAGCAGAGGCAATTTGAGGAATTTTGTGTTTTTTTTTTCAGAAAATATCATATTTGGAAGCGATGCCAGCAGAGATTCTCAAGGAAAATCGCTCATCATTATGTAACAAGAAAACCGTCTTAAGGCAGGCTAGCAGTGATTCTTTAATGCGTAGGGCAAGCTAGCGGAGATTATCCCGGAAAATGATTGAGAATAGTAAAAATGTTGTGCAGGTAAGGTAGGCTAGCAAAGATTTTTGAGAGCTTTCGTAATATCGGGGGAGGGGGTTTCCGCTGACCGAAATGTCTAGCAACTTAATAAAACATGGTTTAGTAGTGTTTTTACTGAAATTTAGCTAATTTTAAAGTGGAAAAATTATCAAAAGAGCTTAGAGAAAATTTGTTCGCAATTTTGGTCGGGAAAGCGGTTTTTGTCGTATTTTCTAAGGAAAACTTAGTTACGTTTTTGCGTCTAGGAAGAGCAGAAAAGGGTTTCGAAACAATTGCGCTATTTATCTAGACAAATTGGATTCTAAGGAAAAACTTTGCTCCGTTCTTAAGCCTAAACCTAAGCCTATGCCTACGCCCAACCTTAAGCCTAAACCTAAGCTAAGCCAGGACATAAACTCGTTATAGAAAGACTGGTTAGCTAGCACAGACACTTTTGGAACCATAAAACCACTGTTATTGGCTAATTAACCGCCTTGGAAAATTGTGGGGGGGGGGGGCAAGTTGTTCGATGCTGGCGTGTGGGTGGGGTGGATTTTCGGGATGTCACTGCGAGGCGCAGGATCGGTCGCAGGTGCGGAACCGGGGCGCCCAGAGCCCCCACAAAAAAACTCGGCAAATAGCAGATAGGAAAATATATATTGGATACTTTCGAGGGAGTCAGCCCTTTTCGGATCACTTTTTTTGCAGATTCCTCACCAAACTTCCCGAGCCCGTTGACTCGCTTTTATGAGGTAAACATGGGTTCGGGAAACGGGTTTTCAGAAACCGCTGAAACCAGCAAGTTTTGAGAGGGCAAGCTAGCAGTGATTGTTGAGAAAGAGGAGAGGGCAGGCTAGCAGAGATTGTTGAGGAAGAGGAGAGGGCAGGCTAGCAGAGATTGTTGAGGAAGAGGAGAGGGCAGGCTAGCAGAGATTGTTGAGGAAGAGGAGAGGGCAGGCTAGCAGAGATTGTTGAGGAAGAGGAGAGGGCAGGCTAGCAGAGATTGTTGAGGAAGAGGAGAGGGCAGGCTAGCAGAGATTGTTGAGGAAGAGGAGAGGGCAGGCTAGCAGAGATTGTTGAGGAAGAGGAGAGGGCAGGCTAGCAGAGATTGTTGAGGAAGAGGAGAGGGCAGGCTAGCAGAGATTGTTGAGGAAGAGGAGAGGGCAGGCTAGCAGAGATTGTTGAGGAAGAGGAGAGGGCAGGCTAGCAGAGATTGTTGAGGAAGAGGAGAGGGCAGGCTAGCAGAGATTGTTGAGGAAGAGGAGAGGGGCAGGCTAGCAGAGATTGTTGAGGAAGAGGAGAGGGGCAGGCTAGCAGAGATTGTTGAGGAAGAGGAGAGGGCAGGCTAGCAGAGATTGTTGAGGAAGAGGAGAGGGCAGGCTAGCAGAGATTGTTGAGGAAGAGGAGAGGGCAGGCTAGCAGAGATTGTTGAGGAAGAGGAGAGGGCAGGCTAGCAGAGATTGTTGAGGAAGAGGGAGAGGGGCAGGCTAGCAGAGATTGTTGAGGAAGAGGAGAGGGGCAGGCTAGCAGAGATTGTTGAGGAAGAGGAGAGGGCAGGCTAGCAGAGATTGTTGAGGAAGAGGAGAGGGCAGGCTAGCAGAGATTGTTGAGGAAGAGGAGAGGGCAGGCTAGCAGAGATTGTTGAGGAAGAGGAGAGGGCAGGCTAGCAGAGATTGTTGAGGAACAGGAGAGGGCAGGCTAGCAGAGATTGTTGAGGAAGAGGAGAGGGCAGGCTAGCAGAGATTGTTGAGGAACAGGAGAGGGCAGGCTAGCAGAGATTGTTGAGGAACACGAGCGCGCTAGCAGCAACCCTTTGAAATCGATTTATTCGGCACAAAAAAACCAAAATCGACACGAGAAAAAGCTATTGATTCTTCTTGTCGCCGGTGGCGGTGGGGATGAGCATCTTGAGCTCTTCTTTCGTCCGCGCATAGTCGAGGAGGGCCTGAAAAAAACAATATTCTGTTCGGCTAGCAGAAATTCTTTAAGAAACGGAAATAGTGTAGAGTCTACCTTCTTGGCCGTGGCACCGATGCCGACGCGGATGGCCGAGCGTGACAGCCAGTGGGTGCTGAAAAGGGGGCCGGCCGGTTGGCAGAGGGAATTTGCGTCAAACCTGGACGTGATCGACTCGGTGATGTTCTTCATCTTGCGCAGCTGTAGAATCGTGAGGATGGTGAGGACGAAGGTGGTGAGGTTGATGATCAACGGGATCACCGAGGCGAGCACCAGCCACGTCATCAGCTCGGCTTCTGCCTGGAATTCCGTCCTCTTCCTCAACAATCTCTGCTAGCACCCACCATTTTGCAGTCTCCATCATTGCCGGCTTCTGCAGCCCGGACGGCGGGCCCGCCGACGACAAGGAGCAGCAGCGACAACTTCTTCACGACACGAACCATGTTTGCTTTGTAGAGAGCGAGAAGGCGGGAAAGCGCCGACCCGGTGCAGGCGAGGAGTAGGAAATGGCGTCCACGATAGTTGTGGATTGACCTCAATTTTTCCGGAAGTTGTGTCGATGTAGATGCAAATGAGGGGGATGCAAATGTAGTGCAAACTCTCGGCCAGTGATTATAATTTGGAGGGTTCTTTAGAATTCGCGCCGGTTCAGGTTGGCCGGGTCATCGAATATAAAGTGTTCTATATGTTCCTTAGCACTTTTTAACTATCATTGAGGTTAGGTAAACCTGAAAAAACGTCCGGTAATATCCTAGATCCCCCCAGCCGGCCCCAACTCTTGTATCTCAGCTCGCTGTTCATCCACAGGTGTGTAAAGTATACCAAAATGTTCACCTTGCTCTGGCGAGCATTTTGGTATAGTTTACACATTTGTAGATGAACAGGGCGCGAGGATACAAAAGCTTAGTGCCGGTTGGGGGGGGTAAACTTCACCCTAACCCTTAGTTTTAATTAAATGTACCATTCTATATCCTACCATATATAAAAAAATAGTGTCTGTGCGTGTGTGTGTCTGTGTGTGCCACTTTGCATCCACTTCCGTCTGTCTGTCCGGAGGATATCTCGCTAGGGGATGAATTTTAAAGTACGTATGATACGTCATTAGGTGCGCATTGGTCTGAAGATGACTGCACACATGTAAAATTTTACAAAATCAGCGGTTTTCGACATCAAATTTAAGTTTTTGTGAAAACCTCTTTGTTAGCACAAATTAGCATAGACCGGAAGGAGGGATTCGACTATATAAAGGGGCAGAAGAGGTTGATTTTCAGTTTTTGTTATCAGAATGCAAGATTATTATGCAAAGGTTTAGGATAAAATGGGGTGAGACGGGGCCAGGGTTGAAAAGTCGCGAAGCGGCTTTTCAACCCTGGTCACATTTAAAACACTGAGAAACGGTCTTCGCATCCATGTAACGACCACTTCCGGTCATTTTGTATGGGCAAGTTGAGACAAGTTAGCCCGTATGTAGAAACCGCAAATAAATTAGCTCTTCGAAAAACCGCAAACTTTGACAACATGGCTTGTAAACCCACGCATTTAAATAAAACGATAGTTTTGAATATTGTTTCAAACTCGCCGTTTCAAGGGCTTTCTAATGGTGTAACTATCACTCTGATCCATTACTTCTGCGTATGCACACCTGTGCATGCAAATGTACACTATCTGTGTGCAGTGGTATATAGAAGATAGCCATGCATTTTACACGCCAAAACAAACATTTATTACAGCGAAAATGAGACACAGAAGGCACGAAAAGCCGATAGGCGAGATGGTTAGAGGTTCTTTGGATCGGCGGGGGCGGATCGATCACTTCATCAGCATGGCGACGGCACCCGAGAAGACGGCAACCATCAGATTCGCCATCGACGCGGAGGAGGCAGCAGTCGTCGGAGCCCCTGTGGCGGCCGAAGCAGCAGGAGCAACAGTAGTCTTGTCCTGGGCCATCACCATCGCCAGCATAGCCATCAACATCACGAGGTTCAGCAGCTTGCCCATCATTGTCAGAGTGGTCGAGATGAGGATCAGGCAAAAAGCCGGAGATGAACAAGATGACGGCATTTTGGACGGCCGGCTTATTACCCGACCCGGAAATCATGCGTCCAGCCGGCTATGCTAATTACGGCTTCAAATTAGGCGAATTACTGATTTCTTTTCGGACTTCCGCAATAATCTCTGCTAGCCTGCCCCGTGTTCACTTTCTCCTTTTCTCAGAAAAAAGCTGCTTCTCACTTTTCGGGTATATCTAATTTTTCTAAACAATCCCTTCTAGCACCATCGTTCTTTTGAATTCCGTAAAACCAGCGAACAAGTTAGCAAAGATTGTTGAGGAAGAGGAGAGGGCAGGCTAGCAGAGATTGTTGAGGAAGAGGAGAGGGCAGGCTAGCAGAGATTGTTGAGGAAGAGGAGAGGGCAGGCTAGCAGAGATTGTTGAGGAAGAGGAGAAGGCAGGCTAGCAGAGATTGTTGAGGAAGAGGAGAGGGCAGGCTAGCAGAGATTGTTGAGGAAGAGGAGAGGGCAGGCTAGCAGAGATTGTTGAGGAAGAGGAGAGAGCAGGCTAGCAGAGATTGTTGAGGAAGAGGAGAGGGCAGGCTAGCAGAGATTGTTGAGGAAGAGGAGAGGGCAGGCTAGCAGAGATTGTTGAGGAAGAGGAGAAGGCAGGCTAGCAGAGATTGTTGAGGAAGAGGAGAGGGCAGGCTAGCAGAGATTGTTGAGGAAGAGGAGAGGGCAGGCTAGCAGAGATTGTTGAGGAAGAGGAGAGAGCAGGCTAGCAGAGATTGTTGAGGAAGAGGAGAGGGCAGGCTAGCAGAGATTGTTGAGGAAGAGGAGAGGGCAGGCTAGCAGAGATTGTTGAGGAAGAGGAGAGGGCAGGCTAGCAGAGATTGTTGAGGAAGAGGAGAGGGCAGGCTCGCAGAGATTGTTGAGGAAGAGGAGAGGGCAGGCTAGCAGAGATTGTTGAGGAAGAGGAGAGGGCAGGCTAGCAGAGATTGTTGAGGAAGAGGAGAGGGCAGGCTAGCAGAGATTGTTGAGGAAGAGGAGAGGGCAGGCTAGCAGAGATTGTTTAGGAAGTCCAAATGCAATCAGTCATTCGCCTAATTTGTAGCCGTAATTAGCATAGCCGGCTGGGCGCATGATTTCCGGGTCGGGTAATAAGCCGTCGGTCCAAAATGACATCATCTTGTTCATCTCCGGCGTTTCGCCTGATCCTCATCTCGACCACTTTGACAATGATGGGCAAGCTGCTGAACATCGTGATGTTGATGGCCATGCTGGCGATGGTGATGGCCCAGGACAAGACTGTTGCTCCTGCTGGTGCCGCTTCGGCCGCCACAGAGGCCCCGACGACTGCTGCCTCCTCCGCGTCGATGGCCAGTCTGATGGTTGCCGTCTTCTCGGGTGCCGTCGCCATGCTGATGAAGTGATCGGGATGTGGCCCTGATGTGACCCCAACGAATGATATTCACGTTTTCATAATGTTCACTATCTTTTCGTGTGAATAAACGGTCGTTTGGGTGGAAAGAGAATTTGCATCGCCTCAAATTGTCTCTGCTAGCCTGCCTCATGGTGTCGTGACCGAATTGAGTGTAGTTTGAGTGCAAGAAGTACCCGCAACCTTAGGGCCCATTTGGGGCCTAATTGTCGTTCCACCGGATTGACTACGACACGCTCCAATAGCCGGCCGCCCGGGTGCAAATTAAATGAGCGGAAATTTACGGCCGTTTCCCCGCAAGGGCCCAAAAAGTGATTGAAAATCGGGGGCCCGCGAGGCGGGGCCCATTTGGCCATAGCTGGGCCCTAAGATTGATGGACTTTTGCCTGGCAAAGATTGTCGGGCTTGTGGTGTTGCTGGGTTCTTTTCCGTTATCGGGGGGGGGGGGTGCTTTTTGTATGTCTAGAAATGCCTAGTAACTTAATCGGAAGTGTTTTAATAATGTTTTTAGTCAAATAAAACTATAATTCATTTTCAAGGTATCTAAAAAATTTTGAAATAATCTAGATTTTGGGCAAAAATCGCCCATTACGGTCGAGAGATCGTTTTTTTTCTTGTATTCTGAAAACAAAAAATTGAATGTTTTCACGCAGTCAAACCCCTTAAAACACTTCCACTATTCCTATTTGAAAACTGGATACGAAGAAAAAAGCTGTCCCCTCCCGATAATGCGAAAGAACCTGTTTCTGAATTACAGCTGCCTTTTTCTACCTAAAAGGCTTTTATCAGAGATCTCCTATTAAATGCATCAATCCAGGGCGCTACGGCAAGCTAGAATTTCCAGGCCGCGGGAGCTATGAGAGAGAGCGAGAGAGAGAGAGAGAGAGAGAGAGAGAGAGAGAGAGAGAGCGAAATGTGTGTGAGGGAAATCGAGAGAGGGGGAGAGGAGCGAGAGAGAGCGAGAGCCTGAGGGGGAGGAGAGAGAGAGAACGAGAGCGAACGAGAGAGAACGAGAGAGAGAGAGAGAGAGAGAGAGAGAGAGAGAGTCAGAGAATGAGCGAGAGACAGTCTGAAAAATCCAAGGCAAGCTAGCAGGGCGTTTTGAGAAATTTCGGGTAGCGGGCTAACGGAGATACTTGAGGAAGCTGTCCCAGGCAAGGTAGGCTAGCAGGAATTCTTTTGGATTTCGGACAAACTAGCAGGGAGTCTTAAGAAAGCTGGGTTAAGCAGGGCAAGCTAGCAGGGTTTTTTTGTTGTTTTTTCGTCGAAATACTTCGAGAACAGGGTTGAAAATCGTATTTCTTGCCAAAAATAGCTTGTTTCATCGATTCCCGCCCTTTCCACGATCCGATTCCCAGTAATAAAATCATATTAAAGCACCCAAAAAATCGCCGGTTATTTCCGCGTAAGGAGGCGTGCCGCGTACTCGGAACTGTCGACCCGTCCTAAGCATAATTGCTACTTGCTTATTCATTGCCCCTTTGTTAGCACCGATCGCCCCACAAATTGTGGGTAGACGCAACCGGAAAACAGAACACAGAAAAACCCCGGCAAAAATCAGACCATTCGAAACCCGCAATTTGGCATGCTCTGGGGCGGCAGGTTGGCATTTTTTGGATTCCGGAAAATTTTTTGGAAAGTTCCTGCGATAAGCAATGCGACGGAGCGCGATTTTTCACGGTAATTATTTAAAAAGCTGCTGCGAAAGCTTTGATCAGCCTAAGCCTAAGCCAAGCCTAAGTCAAGCCTAGGCCAAGCCTAAGCCTAAGCCTAAGCCTAAGCCTAAGCCTAAGCCTAAGCCTAAGCCTAAGCCTAAGCTAAGCCTAAGCCAAGTCGAAGCTAACAAGGGAACCTCAAGTTGGCACGGTGGAATTTCGAAAAACGCTCGCGGCTACCCCTAGGTTTTCGGCTACGGCGATTCCAACCCTCTAGTCAGAATTTCCTTAATGGGCCTCTGGACAGAGATACAGCACTTCCGGAAAATGATAATTTACATCCGAAAAATTAGCATTTTCGGTAGGTTTATGAGGCACTCCCATCACTATGGAATCACCAGTTGAGTGGCCGAGTGGTAAGCGACTCGCTTGGTAGAATACTGACCAGGGTTTGAAACCGCTCACGATTTTTTATTTTGCTTTTTGACCGGAACTTCCTGCCCAACTCTAACTTTTGGTTTTTGCTATAAGAAAATTTTTTGGTTATGGTTCCAGGCTGACAACTCCAAAGAAGCCCCAAAACTTCGCAAAAATTATGCGAACAGCTGGGTGTTCCCATCTCCGTTTTTTACCATGAGACACTCGGATGAAATTTTTAGCATTTTTTGGTTTCGCCAACGCTTTTAGACATTTCAAAAACAGAACGATTTTCGAAAAAAGTAACCAAAACTTGGAGTTGGGCAGAAAGTTCCGGTCAAAAAGCAAAATAAAAAATCGTAAGCGGATTCGAACCCTCGTCAATATCATATCAAGCGAGTCGCTTACCACTCGGCCATTCAACTGGTGATTCCATAGCAATGGGAGTGCCTCATAAACCTACCGCAAATGCTAATTTTTCGGATGTAAATCATCATTTTCCGGAAGCGCTGTATCTCTGTCCAGAGACCCATTAAGGAAATAAAATTCAAAAAATTCTGACTAGAGGGTTGGAATCGCCGTAGCCGAAAACCTAGGGGTAGCCGCGAGCGTTTTTCGAAATTCCACCGTGCCAACTTGAGGTTCCCTTGTAAGCCTAAGCTAAGCCTAAACTAAGCCCAAGCTAAGCCCAAGCTAAGCCTAAGCGAAGCCTAAGCCAAGCCTAAGCCAAGCCTAAGCCAAGCCTAAGTCAAGCCTAGGCCAAGCCTAAGCCTAAGCCTAAGCCTAAGCCTAAGCCTAAGCCTAAGCCTAAGCCTAAGCCTAAGCCTAACAAGGGAACCACCTAAGGTCAAGGTGGCGTTTCGTTATGGGACCCAGCCTATTTTGTGTAGAATTTTTTGCTGATTCCGAACCCGCTTTCAATTTTTGCTAAATAGCCCAATTGAAAAAGTTATAGCGATTTTAAGGTCATATCTGTGCCCGCGGGAAGTCATCTGTCATGATGCCCAACTTTTTTATTTTAATAGGGCAGTCGATTTTTAATAGCCTATCCTGTAGAGAATTTTTTCTGATTCGATTGGTATATTTCATTAGTGCGCTACGACCTATCGACGATCACTTACGGGGGTGTGAAATAGGCAATTTTTCACCATTTCCCATACAAAAAACGGAGTCCATACCAAGTATCGTCGATTTTTTCAATTTTCAACAATTTTGAGTTAAATAGTTCATTCGATAGAGAAAATTTTTCTGAATACGATGGCGATATTCGTTTTTGAGGAATCAGACGGGAAAAGCAAGATAAATGACTTTGAAGTTCGAAAATTTTGGAAAAACCGGAACTTTGAAACGCTATAACTTTTTAAATTGGGCTATTTAGCAAAAAATTAAAGCGGATTCGAAATCAGCAAAGAATTCTGCACAAAATAAGCTGGGTCCCATAACGAAACGCCACCTTGACCTTAGGTGGTTCCCTTGTAAGTCTAAGCCTAAGCCTAAGCCTAAGCCTAAGCCTAAGTCTAGGCCTAAGCCTAAGCACTAAGCTAAGCCCAAGCCCGGACAGATTTGACATCAGAAACTTTTCGAAAATATTGTATAATTTTAAAACAATATTAAATCATTCAATCGCATTTTCAAGTGAGTTTTTGCGCCTCAAAGGGGCAGTAAAGACAAAGATCTACTCGCTTTCTAGGGCGATGATCCTCAACGGGGTGCGGTACATTTTTGCGGCCGACCCGGTCAACACCGAATCGCTGGCAATTATGTATTTTGTCACAGGTGAATTCTGACGAGATTTTATTGTTTTTTTTAAATACGTAACCAACATGACAACGTAAATCCAATTTAGGTATGCTGGCCCTGGCGTGCAATCTGTTCAATATCTATATCTTCTACAGCCTGCACCGCAAGCAGCGAAAATATCAGATCTTCATCGCCATCGAGCTGGCAGAAGTCGTGAACTGTGAGTTTTGCGGCTAAGCCTAAGCCAAGCCTTTGCAAAAATATTAAATCTTCTTTAGGTTTTGCCTACATCACAACTGGCGCCTCACGATTTATCATGCTAAAAATCGGGATAATATTCGACACGATTTCGACCGCCGGCTGCTTTTTCACGGTGAGGGCAGGCTAGCAGAGATTGTTGAGGAAGCGGTGAGGGCAGGCTAGCACCGATTCTTTGCTGAATTCGCCAAACCTCAAATTTTAGAGACCTTACGGCGTGCTGCTAATCGTCGGGACCCAATTGCCAGCGATAATCGTAGTTATATCATCGGTGGAACGGCTGATGGGTCAGTTTGTAGCTTCTAAAAAACATTGAAAGCTAGTAGAGATCATTTGGGAAGCAGACTAGCACAGAATTTTTAGGAGCGTGTTTCATCTCTTCATCAGACCAGATAATAAGAATGACGTCTATTGCGTCCTCCAGAAACAATCAGAATTTTTAAGGATCCTGAAATTGTGAGCCTGAAAATCCTGATATTTTTATAAAGTTCACCTGCGCGGAACCACAAGGAAATACAAAGAACCCCAGATGTTTTTTGATTCCCACCTTTTACGGATCCCCTGGGGCTTCAATGTTTGCACGGTTAAAAATTGGGCTCACTGCGTAGGGGGTAGAAATACCAAGGATGCAAAATGGGTAGAAATACAGGGTGAATTCCGAGAAAAAGCGACGTTGTCATTTTGCCATTTCAAAACTGCTCGACTGAAAACTTTGAAAAGCGGTTTGGAAGGGAATTGAAAATGTTCACAGAAACTTTCTATGTACGCGCTATCTACTCTATTTTTTGAGTTATGCCAAAAAAAAAAAGCTTTATTTTACGTTTTTAACCTGGATTTCTAGGGAACGCATCGCTAAAATGAAGCACCGGCCCTTTTTATCCTATAAAATTTTTTATCTCGCAAATTTCGGCATGGAAATAAAATCTAAATCTATTGGAAATAAGTGGAAATCTATTAAAGTAATTTTACAAGCTATAATTATATGAAGATGCTAAGAGAAATGGTTAGTTTAGAGCCGGAAATCGATAGAAAGCCATTGTTGGAAAGTCCAAGAACATTGCCAAAACTTAAGCGAAAGGGTCGGAAAAACAGTTTTTTTGCAATAACTCGAAAACTGCTGTACTGATCGGGCTGAAAGTTTTCGTGAACGCTTCAAATTCCCGTAGCAAACTCTGTTCAAAATTATAAGTTGAAATAGCATAAAGCCAGCGTGTCCTTTTTTATTGGGACACTGAAAATTTGCCGTCACCGTTCTCTAATGATCTCGGCTAGCCTACCCTCGCCCTAAATCCCTTTTTAGCCGTCTACCGTCCCGCTTCATATCAACGATACTGGGATGATCATTTCAAGAGGCGGCTTCTCCTCGCCGTGGCCGTTGTTCAAATCGTAATTTCCACCATGTTCCAGTTTTAACAATTTCCAGACGTCAGTAGTACTCGCCGGACTGTCGGCATTTTTTGACCCATATATCAACTCGACCCAGCACTGCCCAGCCGCAGCTACCGTATCCTCCACCTACGCAGCTGTACACTTCCTATTTCAGGTATTTTTCAAGACAGGCTCGCCAGGCAATTTAAGGAATTTGACCCAGCAGAAGAAGGTGTTCTTTTTAGATCCTCTCCTACCTGGTCAGCTTTGTGACGCTGGCGGCAGTTTACTTGACGAGCAAGGTAAGGCTAGCAGGGATTATTGAGGAAACAGGCTTCACCGTCCCTTTAAAATCGCCATACGGGGCGTTTTTCAGAAAATGATCATCTCGAAGGGAGGCGTCGGCTATTTTCGGGTCACCATGCTCCTAACAGGCAAGTCGAAGAGGGGCAGGCTAGCGGAGATTATTTAGGAAGCGGAGAAGGCAAAGTATAGATTTCTTGACTTCCCGCTCCCGTTGAACCTAAATAATTAAAGGTTTCGGTGTCTTTGTGATGGGCTGCCCGGCAGGAGTGTCGTTAGGAACGACGTGGAATTTATTCAAGGCCAGCGACGTCGTCTTTGGAATTGGAATCACGGTGCCGAGGTAGGCTAGCAGTGATCGTTGAGGAAGGGAGAGGGCAGGCTAGCAGAGATTGTTGAGGAAGAGGAGAGGGCAGGCTAGCAGAGATTGTTGAGAATGAGGAGTGAGCAGGCTAGCAGAGATTGTTGAGGAAGAGGAGAGGGCAGGCTAGCAGAGATTGTTGAGGAAGAGGAGAGGGCAGGCTAGCAGAGATTGTTGAGGAAGAGGAGAGGGCAGGCGAGCAGAGATTGTTGAGGAAGAGGAGAGGGCAGGCTAGCAGAGATTGTTGAGGAAGAGGAGAGGGCAGGCTAGCAGAGATTGTTGAGGAAGAGGAGAAGGCAAGCGAGCAATGATTTAATCTTTTTTCAGCCTTATCTCAGTAACAACAACAATCTCCAACGGCATCTTTCACCGTGAATACCGGCGAAAGGTAATTTTTGAGATTTTGAGAAACTTAGATATTCCACAACTAGCAGAGATTCCTAGGGAAGGGCAGGGCGTGCTAGCGGAGATTTTTTGGGGAAGTGAGACGGTTAACGTATCTGGGTACCTACAGTAGCGTGCAAAAAGAAGGCAACACCCAGGAAGCTCTTGTAAGTCGGCTGCCTCGTTATATTTTGCACCAATCGGAATGTTTCCTAGTGTTTTCGATGCTGTAGAATTCGATGAGCAGGGTACCAAGCCGTGAAAATGACGTTTAGTAGCTTAAATATGGTATTTAAAATGGTTCCAAAAAATCGACTTTTTCTAAAGGCATTTTTCCGTTTCAAAAACATCACCATCGTGTTCAGCATGGTCGATTTACCCAAAGTCAATGTCGTTTGTGATCGGGTTTGACTTGGATTAGCCGGGAAGCCGCGTTTTCTTTGCGTGAAACGGGTCAAGGAGTGGGTTCGCCTGGGGGACAGGTATTGCAGACGCCCCCATCAGACCGATGGCGACACCTATTAATCGCAGCTTCCTAGCCGACTGAAGACGTCCTAAGCAACCAGAAACATCGACGTTGGGTAAATCGACCATGCTGAACACGATGGTGATGTTTTTGAAACGGAAAAATGCCTTTAGAAAAAGTCGATTTTTTGGAACCATTTTAAATACCATATTTAAGCTACTAAACGTCATTTTCACGCGGCAGCCGTTTTTGGTGCAAAATATAACGAGGCAGCCGACTTACAAGAGCTTCCTGGGTGTTGCCTTCTTTTTGCATGCTACTGTAGGTGTACAACGTAATTGGCCGACGGATTGGGTGTCATTTGTCTGCTCGGGATGAGTCTTCGGTTCGTGCCAAGACCACAGCCCCATTTTTGGTCAGCCAGGCCTTCCACAGTCATAATATGTAGGTGTTTTACGTTTGTCTTTGTGGTGTGAGACGTTCCCGTCATTGTCCAGTGCTGTGTGGAGACAGCGAGAAAGAGAGAGAGACAGAGAGAAGGAGAGAGAGAAGGCAGGCTAGCAGCGACGACTTAGGAAGCAGAAATTTGAACGATTTGCCTTTAAGTAGACCAAATCCGTGACTTCACCATCCCTTTGAACGGGGTAGGAAAACGGAACAGCAGGAAAGGCTGTGCAAGGATGTCCTGCCAGACTGTTTTGTCTTTCGGTTCGCGTACTTCATGTTCCGGCTAACGTTTTGCATTTGTAGAGGAGTGAAAATTTAAAAAAAATAGGGTGATTTTTAGGAAAATGACGCTACCATCCTCGCAGATCTGATGACCTGATGGAAATCGAACGGGAAATGATCGTTTATTTGATTCTACAGATGAATAAAGAGTTTTATAATCCTGAATGGGTACTCAATATTTCTCCCGCTCTCTCTCTCGCCCTCTCTCGCTCTCTCTCGCTCTCTCTCTCTCTCGCTCTCTCTCGCTCTCTCTCTCTCTCGCTCTCTCGCGCTAGCTGCCCCCTCTTGCTCAACAATCTCTGCTAGCCTGCCCTCTCCTCTTCCTCAACAATCTCTGCTAGTCTGCCCTCTCCTCTTCCTCAACAATCTCTGCTAGCCTGCCCTCTCCTCTTCCTCAACAATCTCTGCTAGCCTGCCCTCTCCTCTTCCTCAACAATCTCTGCTAGCCTGCCCTCTCCTCTTCCTCAACAATCTCTGCTAGCCTGCCCTCTCCTCTTCCTCAACAAACTCTGCTAGCCTGCCCTCTCCTCTTCCTCAACAATCTCTGCTAGCCTGCCCTCTCCTCTTCCTCAACAATCTCTGCTAGCCTGCCCTCTCCTCTTCCTCAACAATCTCTGCTAGCCTGCCCTCTCCTCTTCCTCAACAATCTCTGCTAACCTGCCCTCTCCTCTTCCTCAACAATCTCTGCTAGCCTGCCCTCTCCTCTTCCTCAACAATCTCTGCTAGCCTGCCCTCTCCTCTTCCTCAACAATCTCTGCTAGCCTGCCCTCTCCTCTTCCTCAACAATCTCTGCTAACCTGCCCTCTCCTCTTCCTCAACAATCTCTGCTAGCCTGCCCTCTCCTCTTCCTCAACAATCTCTGCTAGCCTGCCCTCTCCTCTTCCTCAACAATCTCTGCTAACCTGCCCTCTCCTCTTCCTCAACAATCTCTGCTAGCCTGCCCTCTCCTCTTCCTCAACAATCTCTGCTAGCCTGCCCTCTCCTCTTCCTCAACAATCTCTGCTAACCTGCCCTCTCCTCTTCCTCAACAATCTCTGCTAGCCTGCCCTCTCCTCTTCCTCAACAATCTCTGCTAGCCTGCCCTCTCCTCTTCCTCAACAATCTCTGCTAACCTGCCCTCTCCTCTTCCTCAACAATCTCTGCTAGCCTGCCCTCTCCTCTTCCTCAACAATCTCTGCTAGCCTGCCCTCTCCTCTTCCTCAACAATCTCTGCTAGCCTGCCCTCTCCTCTTCCTCAACAATCTCTGCTAGCCTGCCCTCTCCTTTTCCTCAACAATCTCTGCTAGCCTGCCCTCTCCTCTTCCTCAACAATCTCTGCTAGCCTGCCCTCTCCTCTTCCTCAACAATCTCTGCTAGCCTGCCCTCTCCTCTTCCTCAACAATCTCTGCTAGCCTGCCCTCTCCTCTTCCTCAACAATCTCTGCTAGCCTGCCCTTGCCAGTTCCTCCATACTCATTGCATGACCGAACTACCGTACTACCAAAGGGTTTTTATCCGGAACTAACCGGAAAGAAAAGAAAAGCCCAGAAATTCCGGGTATTACAGTTCACACATTAGCACACAATGGGCCCCGTAAATTGAATCGGCGCGGCAGGCGGGAACCCTATTTCCCCAGTTGCTCGAACCTCCTACCGAAACATTACATTTTCAAATTACCACGGTTTTCCCGTAACGGACCGGCAGGGTGCAAAGAGGAAAAACCGGAACCTGAACGGTGTAAATATCTAGAACACTTTGGGCGGCGCTTGATCAGGTTTTCGGAGAGTCTAAGAATATGCCTAGGTTATCAGCCTATTGCCGGGTGGGTAAATACTTGCTGTGCCGATTTTCGCTGTGCCGATTTACAGTGTGCCGATTATTGGTATGCCGAATTTTCGCTATGCCGAATTTCACTATGCCGAATTTTCACTATGCCGAATTTTCACTATGCCGAATTTTCACTATGCCGAATTTCGCTTTACCGAATTTTCACTATACCGAATTTTCGCTATACCGAATTTCGCGATGCCGAATTTTTTCTACTAATCTTTTCTACTCTACTAATGTTAATAAGTAAGATCGACTGGGACTTAGCGGTGCAACAAAAAATCTACTGCGCCTACGGGACCTACGATCTGCCCGAGTTTTTGGGAATTCTAGGCTAACTCTAACTTTCTAGACCCATGATTTTTGGAAAAATAGTAAAAAAAATGGGGAACATACTGCTTATCAAAATTATGATGGCGAAAATTCGGCATGGTGAAAATTCGGTATCGTGAAAATCGGCATGGTAAAAATTCGGTATAGTGGAAATTCGGTATAGCGAAATTCGGCATAGTGAAAATTCGGCATAGTGAAAATTCGGCATAGTGAAAATTCGGCATAGTGAAAATTCGGCATAGCGGAAATCGGCACAGCGTCAATCGGCATAGCAAAATTCGGCATAGCGAATGGAACTCTGCCGGGTGCCCCAATAACAAAAAAACCGGTTCTGGGCTGTTAGCGGGTGGGGAGAGGTTTAGCAGGTAGGAGGAACCACTTTTTTTCACCCAAACCAACATGTTGATAATCAATAATGTATTTTGATAGTGTTTTTAGTAGTTTTGGATTGCTAAAAATTACAAGGAATATTTTTAAACGGCGACATTTTGACCCTTTTTGGTGATTTTCCATACATTTTTGACGAAAAAGTCAAAAATTTTCGAAAATTGTAATTATTTTTTGTAGTCTTTTCATATCTAAAAACTATGTAAAATGCTATAAAAATGGTTCATATGTTGATAAAGGGCCGTAGAAAATCCCAGGGAAGAATTTGGTTCCCCCCGCTAACAGTCCAGAACCATGCCGAGGGAGTCGGTTTTTTAGGACACTCTGTACATCTTTTTTCATTGCACTACCCGACTCAATCGATAAATACCTTTATTATGCATAAAATCTATCGAGGTATCGATTTGAAAGTTATTATCTAGCCCTGGAGCTGCTGGAAGACGCCCTGGAGCTCGGCGCCAACGTTGGCCGGGATCGACTTTTGCAAGGCCTCCATCTGTTCTCCCTTCTTGGCACGGGGCAGGTCCTTGTTGTCCGCAATCTGCAAAAATTCGAATTTCCTCAACAATCTCTGCTGGCCTGCCGGATGTGATGGATTTTAAAGGACCAGTGAAGTCAGAAAAACTTACGGCTTGGAGCTTGGCGTCGAAGCCCTTGGCGGCGGCGGAGAGCTTGGCGATGGCGGCGGCCTGCTTGGCACGGCCCTCCTTCTCAGCAGCGGCTCCCTTCGACTCGATGTCGTCGAACTGCTTCTGAAAATTGAGCGGTTCTCAGTTCCTCAGCAATCTCTGCTAGTCTGCCCTCTCCTCTTCCTCAACAATCTCTGCTAGCCTGCCCTCTCCTCTTCCTCAACAATCTCTGCTAGCCTGCCCTCTCCTCTTCCTCAACAATCTCTGCTAGCCTGCCCTCTCCTCTTCCTCAACAATCTCTGCTAGCCTGCCCTCTCCTCTTCCTCAACAATCTCTGCTAGCTCACCTTCTGGGCGGCGGGCAGCTTCTTGGCCCAGGCCTTGGTCTGAGCATCAGCCTGGTTGTCCGAGAGCTGGCCGTTGTTCTGGATGGCGATGAACTCCTGCTTCAGGGCGGCGGGGATCTGGAAACCGAGCTTTGAATTTACCATAAGGCCCTCAGCTTAAACCTAAGCATAACCTACGCCTAACCTAAGCCTAAGCCTAAGCCTTAGCCCAAACTTAAGCCTAAGCCCCAGCTCAAGTTGAAGCAGTTCAAAAACTGACGCCGGTGAGGAATGGTGGCTCCTGCTCTCCTTGGCCCTGGGCCAGGACGGCGCAGCCGAACACGGCGACAAGGGCGAGTACCTAAAAATTGTGGCGTTAAAGAATTGTCATTAAAATCAATTAATTAATCCAAATTAATATCAATTAATAAATTAAAATTATAAATTAAAAAACCCACCTTGTACATTTTCGAGGTCGAGCAGGGATTGGGAGATTTGGAGATTGTCCGAGATCTGACCGTCCCCCAATTTTCCGTCGGCTTTTATCGGCAGATTTCGAGCTGATGGTGCTCCGCCCAGATCGTCGACGATTTTGCCGAATTTTCCCGGGGGTTGACCAAGGACATTTCAGAGGGAGAGAGAGGGGGAAGGGACAGTGTTTTCCTGTTGATGACTGTTTTCTTTCTCTTTCTCTCGCTCGTTCTCTCTCTCCCACTCGCTCTCTTTCTCCCTCTCTCGCTTTTTCACGGCCTCCACCTTTCTCTTAAAGATAGGCTAGCGGAGAATCGTGAGGAAACGATTGGGCAAACTAGCCGAGATCCTTGAGGAAAAGGCTAGGCAGCATAGCAGAGATTGTTGAGGAAGAGGAGAGGGCAGGCTAGCAGAGATTGTTGAGGAAGAGGAGAGGGCAGGCTAGCAGAGATTGTTGAGGAAGAGGAGAGGGGCAGGCTAGCAGAGATTGTTGAGGAAGAGGAGAGGGCAGGCTAGCAGAGATTGTTGAGGAAGAGGAGAGGGCAGGCTAGCAGAGATTGTTGAGGAAGAGGAGAGGGCAGGCTAGCAGAGATTGTTGAGGAAGAGGAGAGGGCAGGCTAGCAGAGATTGTTGAGGAAGAGGAGAGGGCAGGCTAGCAGAGATTGTTGAGGAAGAGGAGAGGGCAGGCTAGCAGAGATTGTGGAGGAAGAGGAGAGGGCAGGCTAGCAGAGATTGTTGAGGAAGAGGAGAGAGCAGGCTAGCAAAGATTGTTGAGAAAGAGGCGAGGGCAGGCTAGCAGAGATCCTTCAAATCCTCTCGCTCCCGTTTCGGCAATATTTTTCCTGTTTTCTCTTTCTCTCTCTCTCTCTCCCTCTCTCTATCTCCCACCCAAAGCGGATGCTTTTGTTTTCGCCTTCCCCCAGATATTATCATCACTCCAAGCGGCTCTTCCCGGCTGCCCATCTCAAAAAAAGGACATACACAGAGTTTCAGGTCAATCGGCTCCCCCCATCCGGCTCACCGTATTTTTCCGGTGACGGCCGGTCAAAAAACAAGTTGGGTTGCTGGATTTTAAGGCAGAACTCTGGGCAGGTTAGCAGAGGGCATTTGGGAAATTATTCAGAACGAACTTTTGAGCGTGAGCTATGCTGGAGGCTCGCATAGATTTTTATGGATTCGTCAATTGTGTTAAAAAATGCATCTTTGATATGGGTTGTGTTTGGCAATGGGGATCGAAAGCACAAAAGAGAGAGAGAGAGAGAGAGAGAGAGAGAGAGAGCGGAACCCCCGATCATTTCTTGTACACGTCACTCCTTTTGACAACGGTTTTCCCAACCGTCCGGCGAACTTCTTCGGCCGGTTCGCTGAGCAGCTTCTTGTGAAAAAATCGGGACGTCATTTCGAGCTCCACGTTATGATTTTGACTGTTCAATTTTGATTTTTTAAATCCAGTTTAACAACAAAAAGTTGTCATCTAGCTTTCACCTTTAAAAGGCTTTCCAGATTACGGTCTGCACCATCGCCTTTCAAGATGTATTTTTTGTGGTATTTGAATAAAAGTGTTCTAAACCACTTTTTAGTTTTGTACGTTTTAATTTTGCCGATTTACTAATTACAGTAATCCGCGCGTTAAAATGTTCAGTGTGCCAGAAAAACCCCACCAAAAAAATAATATTTATAAGTAGGCGTGGCGGTGGTGTTGAGAAGCACGGTTGTTTCGCATAAAGTTTCAGAGGCACTGTAATAGCACGTGGGAGAAGGGGTGGGTGGGGTTTTAAAGGGACGGGCAAGGCACGGCTATGGATTTTCTAGCTATAAATTCTCCGAATTTGCAGCAACCGCAAGACGCAACGCGCTCACTGTGCGTGGCGGCATAGATTTTTTCGACTTTTGGATGGTCAAACGCCGTGCGCGCCCAAAATTTACGGAAAATCCATAGCCTCGTCTGTCTTGCCAGTCCCTTTAAACACCAGCGCAGTCGATGTAAAAATGCAAAAAATCACAAAATTCTAATAAAGGCCAGAATGGGATTTCTCGTTGTGGTAAATGCGATGCGCGGCTAAAACGCGGAAATTTGAATAATTTTAAAAGAGGAAACACGAATTCTTTTTGATCCAGGCTACGGTAGGGCAAGTCGATGAAGTGGGGGAGGGGTACGGTAGACAGGGAGGGTGGATACGGTATTGCAAGGGGGCGGATAAAACTGATTGCGTCGTGGGAAGGTATTGTGACTGCGTGTCGGGTTACGGTAATACGGTCGGGTGGGGCAATATATAGGGGGGAGGGGCACGAATGAGTTACGCCAGGTTATTCAGGCTACAGAAATTGGGCTGCGGGGCCCTTTAAAACGTGTGCCTTGGCCGGATTTTGGCCTTCTGACCTCTTTCAACGGGCTGGGAAACTACAACGAACAACCGATTACGCGAGGGTTTTTTAGGCTGAAATTTTTGAGTTACAGGTCCCTTTAAAAAGCCTGGAAAACCGCGAAATTCGAACCCGCTACGCCACGTAATTCATGCTGAAAATTGTGAGTTACCGGTCGCTTTAAAATCCCAGAAAAGACAGAATTCAAACCGCTTACGCCAGATTAATCTGCGTGCAATTTTAGCTTTCCAGTCCCTTTCAAAAGCCTGGAAAATCCCAAGATTCGAACCGATTACGCCAGGTTAATCAGAGTCGAATTTTAGTTTTCCAGCCCCGTTAAAATTCACGGCAAATGGACCACATTTACAATTACAAGAAGATGCAAAAATCACAACTGTCTTTCTTTCCTCGTTGGCGCGAATAAATAAGTAGGCTTGGGGGATAAATAGATCGGTAAGCTGCATGGGGGAAATCTTTGAATTTTCATGGGGGGTTTTGATCACATTTTCGGGGTGTAAGAGGCTTTTTCAGAAGAGGTCAGGGTTTAGGAAACATCATCAAAATCGAAGAAGAAAAAAATATTTTAAAAATTCACAACATTCACTGATGGAATTGGGCGAGTTCGCGCATCGGGGCCATCGGGCGGCGCTCGCTCGCACGGCGCACGATGCCTGAGCCGCCGGTCTTTTGCGGGTGGACCTGAAAGCGGAAATAGAAAATTTATCCGGAATTCTAGTTTCGGCTCTAATGATCTCTGCTAACCTGCCCTGAAATTTAGCTTAAAACAAAAACGAAACTATACAAAAATTACACAAAAAATTTAAGACAAAAATTTAAATTGGAAGCCAAAAATCCAGGGATTCCGCTAAAAACCTCTGCTAGCCTGCCCGCGCTTCAGAGGTTCGCCAAAATCCGCATCCTATAAAAATCCCACCGGAATTTTCAGATCCCCTAAAAATCTCCGCTAGCCTGCCTCCAAACTTTCGATTTCTCTAAAAATCTCCGCTAGTCTGCCCTAGTCGAAACTCCTGATACTCAGATTTCCACCAACGTTTCTGCTAGCCTATCCCGGATTCCGAGCTCGAAATCTTCAAAAAATGACACAAAATCGCAGCAGCTTGCCCTGAAGCCGCGATTCCCAATTTCCCCAAAAAATCGCTGCTAGCTTGCCCAATGTTCAAGTTATGCTATTCCTCATAAATCGCTGCTAGCCTGCCCTGAAGCTCAAGATCTTTATTTTCCGCAAAATTTCTGCTTGCTTGCCCAATTTTCAATTCTTTTGCTTTCCCAAAAATCGCTGCCAGCCTGCCCTAAAGGAGTCCTCCAATGATATTTTACGTCGAAATCTCTGCTAGCATGCCCGATCTCAAATATACAAAAAAGACGACGCACCAATGGCTGCTTCTGCGGCGGGGCGAGGTGCCAGGTGACGCGTGGAGCGCTGCTATCGGGGTGGCGGTACTGAAAAGGGACCATTAGACTCGAAAATTCCAAATTTTACACACGAAAATACATTCGTAAAATTTATATTAGTGATTTTGTCGAGCATCACCAAAATTCGGACACGGTTACGACACCTAGCAAGCCACGCAACGCTGCGCAGCGCTTCAACTACACAGTACAACGCGTCAAAACACGCCACAGGCATTCGCTAAAGTACCCTCGACTTCCGCGTCGGCGTCGGCGAGCGCTTGAGCGCGCTGCTCGGCGTACAGGGCGTAGGCCGCCTCGACCGGGGCGCGCCCCTCGGCCGTACACTGGATCGGGGCGTATTAGGGGGAAATTTTGTGCGAATTTTTGCGCCCATACCTGCTAATAATAAATACCATCTTTTTATAACGTTTTTCGTAGTTTTTCGTTGCTAGAAAGTTAGAAAAATATTTTTAGACTTTTCTATGCCAGGATTTTTATCTTTTTTCATGCCCTTTGATAAAAAATTTAAAATTTTTCGAAAACTTTTGTTTTTATGGGCTTTTTTATATCTAAAAAGTTATCAAAATGCTAAAAAATCGTTTCTATTTTGTCAAAGGAAAAATCACATTTATACTGGGAAAAATTAGTCCCCCCGCTAACAGTCCAGTCTCGACGCCACGTCAACGACTTCTGGCGTACGCGACCTGGCCCTAATGTGTCAAGCTTTTTTAATGGGCCGAACGGCTTGAAAATGATGCGGATGCGCTGCGTCAACATCTCCTAGATGACGCACCACATGCACACCGCTCATTGTCAGGCTCCTTCTCCAACTACTAAAAAAATCGGAGCTACCTTTGTGCACGCAATGTATGCGGCCTTGACGGACAGTACGACGGCGTTCAGCAGATTCCGGGCCGTCTGGATGAGGGAGAGCGCCGAGTCGAGGTGGCACTTCTTCAGCTGATCGCCAACTTGTTGCACGTCGGCTTTCACCTGAAATAGGTTATTTGGTAAACACCTTAAAAATGGCGTACCCTGCTGCAAATGTTGAGCTGGTGGCAGAAGAGGGTGATGCGTGAGAGGTACGACATCAGGTCATCACGACTGCGACTCTCACGAGATTCTTCGCCGATCTGCTTGGCCAGGGCGTTGAGTTTGGAGCCTGGAAAGCGGGGTTAGCAGAGATTATTGAGGAAAGGAGAGAGCGGGCTAGCAGAGATTGTTGAGGAAGAGGAGAGGGCAGGCTAGCAGAGATCGTTCGGAAGAGGAGAGGCTAGCAGAGCTTAAACCCAAAAAAATCACCTGCAACCGAAATCTCCTGGGCGGCCCTGATGACGTCAGAGGTCGTCTTCAGCGGGCCGTGACCGCTAAAATCGAAATACAATAAAGTTTAGTATTCTTACCGCGTGAATTCCATCATGTGCTGCATGATAATGGCCATGTGCTTGGCCAACACTATGAGGTCGTTGCCGGTCTCGTCCCACTTGGCCACCTCGTGTTCGAATTTGGTGTGGGCGATCTGAAAAGAATATATTTTACGGTTGTTATCATCCTCAATAACTTCTGCTAGTCTGCGCTCTCCTCTTCCTCAACAATCTCTGTTAGCCTGCCCTCTCCTCTTCCTCAACAATCTCTGCAAGCCTGCCCTCTCCTCTTCCTCAACAATCTCTGCTAGCCTGCCCTCTCCTCTTCCTCAACAATCTCTGCTAGCCTGCGCTCTCCTCATCTTCAACAATCTCTGCTAGCCTGCCCTCTCCTCTTCCTCAACAATCTCTGCTAGCCTGCCCTCTCCTCTTCCTCAACAATCTCTGCAAGCCTGCCCTCTCCTCTTCCTCAACAATCTCTGCTAGCCTGCCCTCTCCTCTTCCTCAACAATCTCTGCTAGCCTGCCCTCTCCTCTTCCTCAACAATCTCTGCAAGCCTGCCCTCTCCTCTTCCTCAACAATCTCTGCTAGCCTGCGCTCTCCTCATCTTCAACAATCTCTGCTAGCCGACCATACCTTGAAGACGTCAATTTGCTCCTGAATCTTGCGCTTGTCCTCCTCGGGCAGGTGCCGCATGATGCGCTGCTGGTTCGGGCCATCGGAGACCTGAATAAAATGTTATTAATTAAAATTAGATAAACAAAAATGCCATTTTGAAAGTAAAACGTCTAATGCTTAAAAACTCACGGTACTCCTGCCATCCATCACATTCGTCTGGGCGTCCTCCTCGTACTCGTTGTCCGAGTCGACGTCTTCTGGGTTTCTAAAAACGAAAAAATCGACAACAAAAAAAAACAATTTTTTTACTTTTAAAGTAAAGGTTAAATTGAAGGTCTATAGGGCAAAAAATTAAGACGCCTCACAGGGGAATGCCGAAAAAGATTGAATGTTTGCATATAGGATGGCTAGGTGCAACGATACGAAACCAGCCATTAGTGCGCGTTTGTGGGGTTACTGTAGAGCTATGGAAAGCAGCTAGAAGAGAAAATCGATAAATTGGCCTGAGAAACCGATAAATTACCTATTGACAAGGAGGGCATTTCGGATGTCCTTGACGGCCTCATGGACCAGCGTGCACGCATTCATGAACTCGTCGACGTCGCGGTTTCTGAAAAAAGTAGACTTTAGATGCAGTAAGCGCAATCTAATTTTTTTGACATAGAAACATTTATTTTCACTTAAAATTTGAATTATAACTAATGTAACCCAAGGCGAAAAATGACAAATTTAATTTTTTTTATTAAAAAAACGCACGTCTCTTCGGGTCCGCGCTGCGTCGGATCCTCGTCGGTTAGCCGTTGCACAACATTGGACGCACGTTCGGCAAAAGTTTGGAGTACTAAAAACGTGAAAAATGAACGATTCTTGCCTGCACGGTCTATTTAAAAACCAAAATTCACCATCATTTCTCAGGCGCCGCGTCGCGGTTTTCACCCTATCTGCATAAGGACCTGACGGCATCGCGTTCATCTCCTCGTCGACGGCGGCGCACACGCGCAGCGAGCGGCCACGGATGGCGCCGGCGGCCCGGTCGAGCATGTCGCCGTTGCCCTGGATGACGGCCTGGAATGAAAAATATAGGATTTTATTTTGAACTGCCAGCCTGGGGATTTTAATGTGGAAGCTGATTTTTATTGACTATGTTATTATAGTATTTTTGTTATTTTATTTTATGATTTTTTATGTTTTTAGTAGTTTTTGATTGCTAGAAAATTACCAAAATATTGCTAGATTTTGAAAATTCGAAGATTTTGACTTTTTCAAACAGTTTATACCAAAAAAAAAATTCGATAATTTTTCTAATTTCTACGAGCTTTTTATATAAAAAAACACGTAAATGCTATAAAAACGGTTTCTATTTCGTCAGAAAGCCGTACGGCATTACTAGGAAAAATCAGACTCCCCCTCAGACGGAAAACCCCGTTTTTTCGTTACCTCCTGCCCATTGATCGCGTCCTCGATGATGTGCGCCTCGGAGACGGCCAAGAAGTCGTCGAGGGTGATGACCGAGTCGACGGCCATCGTCAGCAGGCGCACCTTGTCCTCCCACACCTCGGCGAACATCTTCATGTTCTCCTGGGCGACGCCGCTGGTCGTGTGCTGGCAGAGGAGGTGCGCTGCGTGCACTACCTGAAACAAAAATAAAAATACGTTTCAAGGTTTTACAGTATTCCCAGAGTCAAAATGGCATTTTTGCTCTTTGCTAAAAGCTAAATTCCGACCTGCGGCGCGAGATGGGACAGCTGCGTGGCGGTGTAGCGTATGACGCGCAACCCCTCGCTGTCGTTGGTCATGTCGCACACAAAATGCGCCACCTAAATAATGAAGAAATATTATTATGATTATTGAAATTTTCCATACCGCCACCATGTTCTCGGCGTGCTGGGTGAACATCTCGCCGGCCTCGCGCGTTGCGGCCGGGTCACCACTTTCGGCTGCGGCGATCAGGATCGAGAGCGGTGTTCTGGAATTGGGAAATTGCCTTTGCCAGCATGCCCTGGGGGTTGTGGAGGTGCAAGTTTTCCTCAAATTGTATCTGCTAGCCTGCTCTGAGCCACAATTCCGCAAATTGTCTTTGCTAACCTGCCATGGGCCACATTTCCTCTAATTATCTCTGCTAGGCTTCCCTGGGCACTATTTCTTCAAATTGTCTCTGCTAGCCTGCTCCGTGGGGTTTTCACGGGCCACCAATTCCACAAACGGTCTCTGCTAGCGTGCCTGGGGGTAATCTTTACCAAAAAAAAAACCGTAAAATAATTTTCCACAAACCTCGTATCGAGGAACGCATCGGAAACATGATCGACGATGGCTCTTCGCAGATGGCGGCGCAGGTCTTTCGATTTTCGGGTGACCAACACCATGGCCAGGTCGACGTCCTCGTTGTAGTCGCTGCGCCCGCACTGGAAAAAGAGTTATAGAAATACCGATCGTTATTTTGCAGGGGTTTCATTTATGCGTCAATTTCTGCTAGGGTACTTGCGCATTATCGAGGGGGGGGGGGGGTTGTAAAAGTCTCCAAAGGTCTAGCTAAGTAATTGGAAATATTTTAATAGTGTTATTAGTAAAATCATAGCTATATTTCAACTAAAAAACGATCGTAAAATTCGCAAAAGTAGATATTTTAGTAAAAAAACGGTAATTTTTGCCAAAAAAAATTATTTTTTTGCATTAAAGACAAACCACTCAAATCAGCGAAAAAAAACAGTTTCACGTCTGCTATACAGCTTTATATTTAAAACATGAATCCTAGGAAGAAAGTGCCCCCCCCCGTTAATGCTCAAGAACCTCTGCTAGTTCTCCCTGTTTTAAGCGCACATTAATTTGCATGTTAAACTTTTTCGCCTTCCCCCTTTTCCTCGTACACGAGAACCATTGGCCGACGGCCAAATCTGTTGCTCGATCTTGATACGCGGCCGGCTAGCACCCAGCTGTGCATAAAAGGTCACACATCTCGAGTCCTTCAGCCCTATTGACGAGGGGTGTTCGCCCCCCTCATAGGGACAGCGCTTCCGGGGCTTACGACCACGCAGCCGGGCTGCCAATTAGCGGCCCGGAATCTATAAACAAAATTCGCAAGTCCTACTCACATGATTCTCGTACTCCTTGAGCAGGTCCTGAAGGGCTTGACGCAGGTTGTTGCACTCGTTGATGATCTTCATCTTGCGGTCGTTGCGCGTTGAGGCTGAGTCGGCAATGTGGCCGGCCTCTGGAAGAGATTGAGATAGTAGAGATAGCGATACTTTTTCCTATTGATAAAATCTAAATTCGAAATCCTATTTTCGGAAAATTCGGCTTTGGTAAATCTGGGATTGCAGAAAAAAGCGTGATCATTTTTATTTTTGAAGGATACAAAAGGATTTTACAAAATACGATCTTCGAAAATTTCGAAATCAGATGTTGGATCTCCAAAGACGAAGCCTGAGCACGAGACTTTCCCCCATGCTCGAGCCGAAGCCCAAGCATGTGTTCTTCAAAGTTTCTCGGTTCACTTACGCGATACAATGACTTCCAGCAGCTCCTCGAGCTCGGGCCGGTGCTTGGTCGGCTTGTAGACGCCCGGCTCCATGAAGGCTTGTTGCTGAAAACCGAAAATAAAAAAGGATTTTTTATTTTCTATCAAAATATTCACTTTCTGAAAGGACTTGCTCATCAGCTTTTAACCTTGCGAAAATTTTGAAGCTTTCAAAAAATGTGCAAATTTCTCATAGATTATCACAATTTCAATGCCACAAACCTGAAACAGGTCCAAATCCTTCATCAGACGCCCGGCTTGGCCGAGGCTGGCGTAGCCGCCCGGCTGCCCGCCCAGCACGTTGCGCATCATGTCCATCGCGTGGGAAGCCTAAAAAAAGACTTGTTATTTTCTTCGCAGTGACTTCTCAAGCGTAAATAAGTTCCCCCCAAAACGATTTTCAGCGTCGAAGCTCCCCAGATTAGATTTTCAAAAATATCCCAACCTCCTGGTGCGCGTAGTCGCAATTCTCGAGCAGGCTGGCGCTGCTCGGGTGATGGAGGAGGGCCTGAGAACGACTTCTAGCTGTCCAAAAAAAAGCGCATACCTTCGTGGCGCCATAGACCATGGGGGCGTGCGTCTTCAGGAGGGCGCGCGCAGCCAGGAAATCATCGCGTTGCTACAAAGACAAGATTTTAAAAAATCTTAAAATTCCCTACCGATGGGTCGACCAGGTCGCCGACGCGCCGCCGCGTGCTCACCTCGATTTCCTCGATCTGGGCCAACAGGGCGCGGTATCTAAATAAATTCATAGACTTCAAAAAGAAGAAGGCAAACCTTTCATAAACCTCATGCTCACTGGTGGCCCCGCGCATATCAGCGAGTCCGCGTTGCGCCTAAAAAAGCCATGTTTTAACCGAGTAACACCGGACACGCGGAACTGCAAAAATGCGCACCTCATCAATGCTGGCCACAATCAGCAGCACGTCAATCTGGTCGCACAGCTCGAGGAAGCGCACCATCGCGTTCAGCAGATTTTTCGCGGCCTGAAAAGAAAGATTTTAATTTGGAAAAGTAAAGGTCACCTCAATGGCTCGCTTCCGGCGTTCCGACGATGAAGTGTCCTTCAGAAGCTCGCGCCCCATCTCGACCATCATACGGCCTAAAAATAAAGAAAAATTCGTTTAATGCGCCGGAATACGGTCCAAATAACTGTCCTTAACAGGGAAACGTTTTTAGGTGATGATGCTCATGATTCGATCCACATAAGACGAGTCATACTAAGATGGAACCCCCACGCACCTGTCCGCTCAACGTCATCCAGCCCGCTCTGCAGGACGCCCATCTTGGGGCCGGCCACCTCTTGGCAGTCGTTGAGGCATTGATCGGCTTTAAAACAGCGTGAAAAATTTTTTTCAAAAGCTACCATTTTGCAGGAACACGCCCAATTTGCGCTCCACATCAATCACAAACGCCTCGGCCGATTCGCCGGGCTGCAGTGGGTGCGTTTCGGTGATTGTTGTGACCTTAAAAACAGTCTTGAACCAGGTAGACAACAATCGATAAAAATTATTTACTGAAAAAGCCAGCTAGCGGAGGTTGTTTCGGAAGCGGATAACCAAGAGATCGCCAACTTCAAGAGCCTACCTTCTAGCAAAAAAAAGTTGCATGTGCAACGGTGCCTTGCATGCACGACAAACCGCCCAATATTCGCGGACCAAAAATTTTTAAATCACCTTTTCGCAGTTTGAAATCCATATTTTATATTAATGTATCCCCTTATTAACCTCGCTGATTCCCCTATAGTTCCTGGGTATCGAAAAATTAATTCTACTATCAAAATCCGAGGTTTTTGGCCAAAAACGTGCCGAATGTGTCGTGGCGAGTTTCGAGGCAGCCCGCTCAGGTACAATTATCAAATCAGTGGCCTCGCCTTCCCAAAAACCGCCAAATCCCCCTAAAGCACCCACATCCCGGATCAGGTCAGCAAGCAGGTGCTGCACGGTGTTGGTCTGGAAGCGGAACTCCAGCCGCTGGCCCGACTGCACGACCATCGCTCGCGATCGGTTCGCCGCACAGCCCCAAGCAGTCCAATCTTCCGCCGACGACTACCTGCAATTTATTCATTCAATACATTTATAAACAAAAGGCGCGCTCCCCGGAGAACACAACAGAAGAACACACGAAAATATAACGAACAGTGTGGTGGTGGAGGAGAAAGCCCGCAGCAAAAAGGACGCGTATATGGTAAAAAATCAACAAAATTAGGAAACGGATCGATACGCGATTGGTGTGATATCGGGAGACGTGACTACAACAATGGCGGGCTCGGGGCAGGCGCACGGGGGGAATCTGAAGACTTTAGGCAAGAGGAATGACCAGAGACACGGATATATCAAACACAAATGATATAAGGCAGAGCAAACGCGCGCGACTGAATCGCCAATGAAAAAAGGCCACAACAAAATTGAGAGCGGCGCGGGGCACCGCAGAGGGTTTTGGTTAGGTTGACGAATCCGGATGGTAGAACGTTTGGCGCGCGGAAGGCATCTGGATGGTGCGGGTTGTGGACCTAAAAGGTATACTTTTTTTGGGTTCTTTCGCATTTTCGGGGAACCTAATTTTTTTGTATTAGTCTAGAATCGGCTAATAACTTAGTAGCAAGTGTTTTAATTGTTATGCGTAAAAATAACTAGATTTCAATCGAAAAAAACTATCGAAGAATTTTTGAAAAAGCCCACCAATTGGCCATTTTTGGACCAAAATTTATGTTTTCGACATTGTTAATCAAATTTTGGAGATATCTTACGTCTAGGCATAGCAAAAACCGTTTGAAAACACTTATTTTCGCGTTGAAAATGAAAATTTTAGCACTTTCCAAATCGTCTAAAGAATCTTTCGCAATATTCCTTATTGTATTTTTTACGCGCAATACTTTTCCTCAAGATCCAATTTTTTTCCTGTAAGTTTTCTAGTCGCAATATGTTGTATTTTACTAAAAACGCTTAAATTACGTCTTATTAAGTTAGTAGGAACTTCTAGGCTGACAGAAAAACAATCGGTTCCCCTCTTCGAAAATGCGAAATAACCGGAAGTTTCCCTAAACAAACGTGCAAAAAGGTGACTCACCCCTATCCGTGCTCCGGTCATCCCTCGCCATTTATTTTTTGGGGCCCACTGCCAGCGGCTGTCCAATGTCCTGGAAAACAATAGTGATAATTTCCAGGACGCTCACCTTGCCGCGCAGCTTGACGCCCAAGGCTCGCTCGAGCTTGTTCATGATTTGTTGATTGGGGACGGCTTTGCCGTTCTCGTACTCGGCCACCACCTAAAAAAGAGAAAACATTTTAACCTAGAGGAACTAGGCGAACCTGCGGCTTCTCGTTGATCCTGGTGGACAGGTCTTTTTGGGTCCAGCCCTTTGTGGCGCGGGCTTGTTGCATGACCTAAAAAATAGGCCTAAAATCGAGAATCGAAACCAACCTTGCCGAGATTGAGGGAGACTCGGTCGTGGTGCAGCTCCTCGGTCTCTTCGTCAAGATGTAGGGTGTTCTACATACAATAATATTGTAAACTAGCGTAATTGTACCTTGTTGGAAGTATGCTGCCGGTTGGCCGAGACGGTCATCTTCTTTTGAGTCTCAACGGCGGCGCCGGCGCGAAGAGCGGCGTTGACGGCCGACTGAAAAAGGGCGGATTTAGAAAAGGATCAGAAATTCCAAGAAAAACCGAAATTTAATTTTGCTGAAAAATACCTGAGATTTCAGCGTCTTCGGCGCGGGGCCACGCTTCGAGATGACGACCGAGACGTTGGGGTCGGCGTCAGAGTACATGGGGGCGCTCTTGCTCATGTTGAGAAGTGTTGGAGTCGTGTAAAACCTGAAAGGAATAGTGTAATGATTTCTTCCAAAATCCACAAAGAAAAGCAGAATTAGGTCATCATCCAATTCAGAATAAAAGACTCAAGATCCTTGCGGGGCTCACAAGCTTTAGATAGATTTTACGCGAACCTTGCGGCAAGTGGGGAATCGACTGATAGCGGGATGAGTCATCGAAAAGAGCGCATGATGGAAACAAGACAAAAAATCTTAGTACATTTTTACAACAAATTTCGGTATTTTGGGAGTCAGCGCGTATAATTGCATTACGATAAAATAAAAAGACTATCGTAAAGAGCGCAGAAAAGCAAGCGGAATAATCGTGAAACGGCTATCTAACTGCACTTTGGTCCCATTTAAAGATCTACTAATCGAACAACAACGTTGAGAAATAAATTTCTGTTTTTTCTAATCTCGAAAACACGTGTTTAATTTGCCCCTAGCAAAATTAAATATCTCCTCGCCAACAACAAGGAAGGGAAATCAAAGAGTTAAAATCGCCAACTGGTTTCAGCTATCCAGCGACATACACATAGCTGTTCTCGCATTGTTAAACTACTTTCTAGGTAAATTCTACTTTTGTAATTCCGGAAACCATAAGCTTTTACGTCATAATACGATCGGGTTTAGGTATCAAAAATAAGCGGAGATTGCTCTCTAATCAATTTGGAAGGAAATAAACTACAAAGAAAGCAAGATAGGATAAGCCTTTCCGCTTCTTATGCAATTTTGAGCAGTGCTGACCGGGCATTCCGGCTCTTGACCCCCACTTTCAGCCTTGGCTTTTCATTTGGCAGGCAGCGCACTGGGTGCACGGGTACATTGGAGCCTCGTGTACGCTTGACCACTCCAACCCCGCGCGGTCAAGAAGAATGGTCACCGCACTCGAGGTCAACAACAATTGGCTGTCCAACACGACCCCCGAAAAATGTTAGAACATCGGAAAATAATCATAAAAGGCGTTGTTGCAGTTTTTTAACCGCCAGCCTAATTTGTTAAAATATCAATCGTCGCAGAGTTTTTAAACCGTAACTCTTTAAACCCAAAAACAAATGTCACAAATGGTGATAAAAACGCTTCAAAAATATCAATTTTGCGACCAACATGGCCGATTTTTGACCAAAGTTGCGACTTTTTAAAACATTTTTAAGTTTTTAGACGGTTTTTCTCTTTGAAAAATAGTTTTATTTTACTAAAATACTATTAAAACAGTTTTTATTAAGCTACTAGGCATTTAGGAGACATTTATCGAATCGCTAAATGCTGAAGGTTTTGAGTTAACGAGTGGCTTGCCCCTTTTACCACACTTTCAAAGCTATTTTTCACTTTTCTATACTTTTCTGACAGTAAAATTCGGGTTTTGCGAGTAAATTTCCTTTGCAATCTTTATTCGGCCTCGAAAACGAGTAAAACCAAAATCACAACGCAAAAAGCAAGAAGAGGGCAAGCGATACAGTTTTATCGACAGAATGACGCGTGTGAAAGGACAAGTATTTTTTAACAGAGACATGACTTTTTGTAATGTTAATTTGGCGATGGTGTCGAGTTCAGGACGTGTGTTCCTCGTAGACGCCGCGGCGGATCTTGTCGAGCTCGTCGGCGAGTACGGAGAAGCTCGGGCGCTTCAGCGGCTCCTCCGCCCAGCATTTGGCCATCAGCCCGCGGATCGGGGGTGGGATCTGAAGAAGGGATGGTTTTATTTTATTTTTCAAAGTGAATTGGCTCTCCTCTTCCTCAACAATCTCTGCTAGCTTGCCCTCTCTTCTTCCTCAACAATCTCTGCTAGCTTGCCCTCTCTTCTTCCTCAACAATCTCTGCTAGCTTGCCCTCTCTTCTTCCTCAACAATCTCTGCTAGCTTGCCCTCTCTTCTTCCTCAACAATCTCTGCTAGCTTGCCCTCTCTTCTTACTCAACAATCTCTGCTAGCTTGCCCACATTATTCGGGAGCTCCATGCGGAACTGCTGGCCCTTGAGCAGCTCCTCGCGAACGACCCTATTCCGGAGCCCCGGGTACGGCTCGCGGCCCTCGTTGTAGAACTCGAACAGCATCACCCCGTACGCCCACACGTCGCTCGCCCACGAGAACTCGCCGCTGCGGAGGACCTGAACGACAGGGATGACACTGTCACGCTCCCTTTAAAATACCTCGGGCGAGGCCCACTTTATCGGGAGCACCATGCCGTTCTGCTCGTGCTCACGGCGGCGCAGCGAGTCGACGTCGACGGTGAGGCCGAAATCGGCTACTTTCAGCTGAAAAGGCAGGCTAGCCGAGACAATTTGAGGAATTCGCACCACTAGCTGCTCGGTGAGCAGGCAGTTTCGGGCGGCGACATCGCGATGGACAAAGTCGCGCCGGGCCAAGTAGCCGAGTCCTTCACACGCCTCGATGGCGAACCGCGTCTAGAGGTGTAGTTTGTATCTAGCATAGTCTTAGGCTTGGCTTAGGCTTAGGCTTAGGTTCAGGCCTCACCTTGACGGCAAATCCGACGCCCTCGCCATGCTTCTGGAGGTACTGGAAAAGCTGATAAATCACCATGACTACGCAACGCTACGCTCCGAACGCTGCCCCCCTTGCAGCACTCCATGACGATCGTCAGCGCCGGGCTGAGGGAGCAGATGCCGTAGAATTGAACTGGAAATTCGGATTCTCGTCGGGAACGGGCAGGCTAGCAGAGATCCTTGAGGAATCAGGCAGATCCCACCAATATTCGGGTGGTTGAGCTGCCACATGACATAGGCCTCGTCGAGGAACATCTTGTGCTGCGTGATGTCCTTGGTGCGGTTGGCGTTCGGGTCGAGGCTGAGGGTGGACGGCTTGAAGATCTTGGCGGCCACCTCGCTGCGACGGCCGTTTTCGAGGAGTGAGGCGATGTAGACCTAAGAAATGGGTTTTGGGCAGGCTAGCAGAGATTGTTGAAGAAGAGGAGAGGGCAGACTAGCAGAGATTGTTGAGGAAGAGGAGAGGGCAGGCTAGCAAAGATTGTTGAGGAAGCGGAGAGGGCAGGCTAGCAGAGATTGTTGAGGAAAAGGAGAGGGCATGCTAGCAGAGATTGTTGAGGAAGAGGAGAGGGCAGGCTAGCAGAGATTGTTGAGGAAGAGGTGAGGGCAGGCTAGCAGAGATTGTTGAGGAAGAGGTGAGGGCAGGCTAGCAGAAACCACTCAGGAACGAACTAGCCCAAAGTTTCCGCCACCAATCTTGTCGTGCAGCTGGATGCGCTTGTGGGGGAGGAGATAGGGCTAGAATTCGGAGGTTTGAATTCCACTGCGTAATCGATTCCTACGGCTCGTCGGATGGAGCGCTGGAGGTAGGCGAGGCGACTTCCGCCCTCGAATCGCATCGAGATGCCGGCGCCGCCGCACGCGTGATCGGAGATGAGCTCGTGGATGGTCGGCTTGGAGACGCGGCCGCCTTCCAGGTAGTAGTGGCGCGTTTTCTGGAAGTAGCGGAGTGAGAGACAGAGAGAGAGATGAGGGAGAGAGAGAGAGAGAGAGAGAGAGAGAGAGAGAGATGCCTCACCTCGCTGAACCGGATCGGGACGAAGCGGATGTCCTGGTAGCCGACGTAGAGCCCGATGCCGCCCTCCAGACGCAGCTAAATCAGGCAGGCTAGCAGAGGTTCTTTGAGGAGGGCAGGCTAGCAGAGTCCGCGGTGGAATTTACCCCTTTCTGCTCGGTGATGACGGGCACGATGCCGCACACGTAGTCGCCGGGCAGCTGCAAGATCTTGGCGAGGTAGTGCTTCGTGAAGTAGCCGTGGAAGTACTCGCGGTTCACCACCGACTCGTCCACCAGCGACCAGCTGAAGGTGTTCAGGCCCGTGCGTAAGCCAAAGCCAGAACCCACAATTCAGTCAGCTGGGCCTTCAGCGACTCCTGCGACGCCTGCTCTTCGGCCTTCAGCGGTCCCGGCAGGCCAGTGACCTCCTTGCTGATGAGCTGTATTTGCATAAATTTAGCGCAAGGTTAGAAAAAGGTCACCTTCTTCTTGTTGGACCCCGATGCGCCACTCTTCTTGACGATCATCATCGAGGGGCTCTTCACGGAATTGCGGCGTCGGATGAATGGGGCCTAGCAGAGATTGTTGAGGAAGAGGAGAGGGCAGGCTAGCAGAGATTGTTGAGGAAGAGGAGAGGGCAGGCTAGCAGAGATTGTTGAGGAAGAGGAGAGGGCAGGCTAGCAGAGATTGTTGAGGAAGAGGAGAGGGCAGGCTAGCAGAGACAAACTACCTGAAAAGCCTGGAAGAGCCCCGGGTTGTTGTTGTCGACCCGTCGGGTGGGGTGTTTCAGCTGCGGCATCGGGTTCGGCATGTACTTGCTGGGGTTCCTGAAAAATTCGTGTCTCAAACATTTTAAGGGATAGTGACAGCAGGCGAGGCGGCTACCCACAATGAGATGGGCTGCATGATGCTGGGGAGGATCTCACGCGACGGCTTCTCGGTCGACAGCCCCTTCCGCTGGGGTGCGGTTTGCTCACGGATTTTTCGGGCCGGGCTCTGGGGCTCGGCGGAGCCGATCGTGGGCGCTGGAAGGAGAGGCGGGTTAGCAGAGATGCGTTAGGAAGTCGAACCTGCGCCGTAGCACGACTTCAGCGGCGGCGACTTCTGACGCTCGTCTCGCTTGGGCGCGTTTTCTAAATGAGCAACCCTAGGCTTATCTCAGGCTTAGCTTAGGCTTAGCTTAGGCTTAGCTTAGGCTTAGCTTAGGCTTATCTCAGGCTTAGCTTAGGCTTAGCTTAGGCTTAGCTTAGGCTTAGCTTAGGCTTATCTCAGGCTTAGCTTAGGCTTAGCTTAGGCTTATCTTAGGCTTAGCTTAGGCTTAGCTTAGGCTTAGCTTAGGCTTAGCTTAGGCTTAGCTTAGGCTTAGCTTAGGCTTAGCTTAGGCTTAGCTTAGGCTTAACTTAGGCTTAGCTTAGGCTTAGCTTAGGCTTAGCTTAGGCTTAGCTTAGGCTACCGTACCTCCTGCTTCATTCTTCGGCGGCGTCGGCTCGTCGCTGTCCTCGAGCGGCCCCTGGCCGGCCTGCTGATCCTTTCGCTTCTGCAAAGAATTACCATAGCATTTCCCAAATTGTGTAATTTGCATCAAACCACCGCATTAATGAAAAACCCACAGTCCGGTGAAGCAACCGGGCGGACATCCCTCAGAAATGCGCCAAATCACAGAAAAACCAACGCGGCCCGTTTTTTCATAGTGAATTTCGGACGCAAATCACCCTGTGTGCCGGAATTTGGTCGTTCTCGGATGCTAACTACAAACTACAGATTTTTGTATGTTGCCAAAGACTACAGAATTTTCAAGAAATCACCATTTTTGGTGTACTTTCCCATTATCGGGGGGGGGGGGGCGGGGTCAGTTTGACACTAACAAGTTCGGAAACCTTTTCACGTAATACCAAATATTTTCTATACCCCTTGATTCAAATTTAGCAATATTTCCTGAAAAAACAGCCAAAAAAAGCTTCAAAGCGAAAACTCAAAATGTTGGTCGAAAAACGTACATTTTTTGAATTATTGAATAGGATCATTTGCCTTATCGGGCGGGGATTTTAATAGGAATTATTGTTAAAAGTTTTTCATAAAATCACACTTTATTTTCACTAGAATAAACTTTAAAAACTTACAAATATTCGAAATTTTGGTAAAAAATGGCAGTTTTTGGTCGAAAAATCGATATTTTGCGATGTTCTATGGAGATCTGTGAAATTCTTACGCTGAAGAATAGTAAAAATAGTAAAAAAAGTTTAGAAGCGTTTCAGCTGTTTATATTAGAAGAATGGATACTAAAAAGTGGGTTTTCCCCTTGACCCTCCCCCCGTTAATGCCAAAGTACCATTTTGAACGACTACCTTTTTCTAGAAAAACTGGAAGCATCTGCCCATTCTCACGTCATAAATGCTCGATCTTCGTGATGATAGCCCGAGGGCATTTGAGAGGGCCGCGCGCCCAATATTGACCCAGATACACGACGATGACCACTTCTGCCCCCGGTGTCATTTGACTTGTATGCAAATCACCGGGTGATGCTATCCCAATTCAGCCAAGAGCTCCTCTACCCAGCTGCTTATCTACGCCAGAACGTCCTCAACCCGTTGCAGGAATATATGGCACTACCCGCGAGAAGTCCGATTAGTAAGCAGATTTATTCCCGAAGCCTAAACTAAGCCCAGGACTCCTAAGTGTCCTAAGCCTGCTAAGCCTCCAAAGCCCCCTAAGCCTCTAAGCGACATAGGCCTCCTAAGCCTCCTAAGCGCTAAGCCACATAGGCCTCCTAAGCCTACTAAGTCTCCTAAGCTTCCCAAGCCTCCCAATCTCTCACAAGCGTCGTATGCCACCTAAGTCTCCTAATCCTGAGCTAGGCTTTAAGCTTCAGTGACTCAGTCCAAGTCTTAAACTTAGAATTAAGAGCCTGACAACATAAGCAAGTTTCAAAGCCCTTTTTCCCAAGCCGAGCTTGTCCGGCTTAACCGGCTTCGTTTCCGGAGTATAGCTTCAAAGTTCTGAGTACTTTGGGACAAGCCAAGTCAGCTTATAAGCCTTTTTCAAGCCAAGCTTCTGCGGCTTGTTTGCGGCTTGTGTTCCGCCAGGCTCCGCCCAAATTTTTGTGCGCCCATGGCAGAGGGGGACCCTCGCGCAAGCCCTCTTCGATCAGCTGACACCATGCCGCCCGGGGGCCCGGCTCGATATTCAAATCGTGGCCACACCTGGGTGTAGAGCATTTTAACTATTGTTTAATTACGCTTATTAGATTGGTTTTTACAATATTTACCCATTTATACAATTGAAATAACATTTTCAAGCCCGAGAAAGCGTAAAATCCGGCTTTTATACACTATTCTTAGCTTTCAGAATCCAGAAATTGGCGGAAAATCGAGTTTCATTATTTTTTATATGATTTAAATACGATTAATAGATTCGTTATTACAATATCCGCCCATTGATGCCATTAACGTAGCGTTTTTAAGCCCACCTAGCGTAAGAATCCGACTTTTAGACACTTTTCTTAGCTTAAGAATCCAGAAATTGACGAAAAATCGAGTTTCAATATTTTTTTTAAGTGCTTTAAATACATTTATTAAATCCACTTTTACAAATTCCATGCCTTTTCCACCTTCCAGAAACTATAATATCTAAAAAACTATGAAAAATCCTGTTTTGCCCTTGTTTTTTGGCTACCACAAGCGAGAAAGTGGCAGAAAATCGATTTTCTTTTATTTTGATAGAATTGAAATACAATTAATTGTTTAATTTGGTCTTCCTTTATATACCTACGTTTTTTTATTGGCTTAAATATCTTTTTTACGCCTGGAAAATAAACTTTAAAAACCCGGGAACTCGAAAAAACCGGTAATTTTAATAGCTAGCTTTTAAAACGGTCCTAAACCTTTTTTTTGCGATATCTTTCTACTTAATATTTTTACGACACTTTTTTGAGCCTAGAAAAAGTAAATCGGCCCCGAGAACCGTAAAAATTTGCCAAAATCGAGGTTTCAGCTCAAAAAACGAATTTGGCAGGCTAGCAGAGACATTTTGGGAAAGGTGAAGTTTAGGTCAATCGATTACGCAAGGTAAATCGGGTTTAGTGTGGTCTAGGAGGGTTACAAGCTTGATTGTTTGTTTGTTTGTTTTCTTTTCCTGACGGCCTAGCATTTAGAAAGCCGGAATTCTTGCCGAAAAGTGTGCCAGTTTTTGAACGGGCGCCCTGGTAGAAATTTCGCAATGTGTTGCACAAGCCTCTCCAAATTTTCTTGCGTTAAATATTGCCGGGCAGATAGTGAAAACATCATTTTTTACGCTTCACCCGTTCCGAAACATTCCTAAAAAACGTTGTCGGCCCCCGGAAATGGCATCTTTTGTAGCAGCAGATATGGGCGCCGACGAGATCGCCGACCTCGCCTCCGTCACGTTCAACCAGGATGGAAAGTGAGTTGCAGAGATTATTGAGGAAGTGGAGAGGGCCGGCTAGCAGAGATTGTTGAGGAAGAGGAGAGGGCAGGCTAGCGAGATTGTTGAGGAAGAGGAGAGGGGCCGGCTAGAGTTGTTGAGGAAGAGGAGGGGCAGGCTAGGGTTGTTGAGGAAGAGGAGAGGGCAGGCTAGCAGAGATTGTTGAGGAAGAGGAGAGGGCCGGCTAGCAGAGATTGTTGAGGAAGAGGAGAGGGCAGGCTAGCAGAGATTGTTGAGGAAGAGGAGAGGGCAGGCTAGCAGAGATTGTTGAGGAAGAGGAGAGGGCAGGCTAGCAGAGATTGTTGGGGCAGTATCCTACCGTCAATGCGCAAATTTCCAGATCCCTAGCCGTCGGCCATGCATCCGGCTACATGCTGTATTCAATGCAGGATTGCGCCGAGTCGTCAGCCCTGCAGTGCGACCCACACGTCGAGCCCAGTAAGTTCAAAAATTTTGTGATTTTATGTTGATTTTAGAGCTCTCCGATGCGATCATTGTCGAGCGGCTGTTCAACTCCTCGTTGGTGGTGGGTCATCTTCCTCAACAATCTCTGCTAGCCTGCCCTCTCCTCTTCTCAATTTGCTTTATTTTTCAGGTGATCGTCTCCCGACTCCAACCCCGCGTGATGTACGTCTACCACTCGCAGAGCAAGAACATGATCTGCGACTACAAATACGGCAACACGGTGCTGGCGGTGAAGCTGAACCGGGAGCGGGTGGTCGTGTGTCTTGAAGACGCGCTGTACATCTACAACCTCAAGGATATGAAGGTGAGGATGAGGCATGGGCTTAGGCTTGGCCTAGGCTTCGCCTAGACTTGGCTTAGGCTTGGCCTGGGCTTAACTTCGGATTAAGTTCTGGTTAGCTTAGGCTTAGCTTTAAAGGAGCATTGAAGCGACAAAATCTTCTATTTCTAGATGATGCACTCAATCTGCGACACTCCGCCCAACAAGCACGGCCTCATCGACCTGTCGGCAAACGACCAGAATTGCTACCTAGCCTACCCCGGAAATCACAACAATGGAACGGTAAGGGCAGGCTAGCAGAGACGATTTGGGGAAATTTGTGGCAGCTAGCTGAGATCCTTTAGGAAATGAGTGATTCGGGCCAGCTAGCAGGGACCATTTGAGATCATTGTCCATTTTTCAGGTGTACATCTTCGACGCAAAAAATCTCACCTCGGTCAACACGTTCACCGCCCATAACAGCCCGCTAGCGTCGATGCGGTTCAGCGCCGACGGGCAGAAGCTGGCCACCGCCGGCGCCAAGGGTAAGCCTAAGCCTAAGCATAAGCCTAACAAGGAGATGGTCTCAGCTGGGAATCGAATTCGGATTTGAAAATTTGCACACTTATAGAGCTCGACGAGACAAATCGATTGGTGTAACTTTCAGCTGCTGATACAATAACCACGCCGAGTTATAAGCATTTTAAGTTTTTGCATACATTTTGCAATATTTTCGCCGTAGCTTCATAGGCCTTCCCCGCCTCCCCCATCACCGTGGTCTTGTGGCCTAGTGGTGTAGTAGGCGGGCTCCGGGGAATCTAACGAGGGTTCGAACCCGCTCACGATTTTTATTTTTTGCTTTTTCGTCCGAAGGTTCCTCTTTGCTTTCTGAAGGCCTTGAATAGCTTTTTACGCATTATTTTAACGCATCTGATGCGCAGACAACATAACTTCACCGTAAAAAATTTTTCTTACTGGGCATGGAGCCCTTGTCCAACAACCTAGGACTATCATTCCCAAAAAAATTTTCGCTTATGAAAATTTTTGTTCGGATAACACACCATTTACAATAAATTACGTTTACTCCTCGATTTTTCATATACTTTGAATTTTCAATTTATTTTGGGATCTGCATAGTCCTTTCGGGTAAAAAATCTAATTTTTTCCAAAGAGATTTTTTTAGCCATTTCTCACCAGAGGATTTAAAATAATGCGTAAAAAGCTATTCAAGGCCTTCAGAAAGCAAAGAGGAACCTTCGGACGAAAAAGCAAAAAATAAAAATCGTGAGCGGGTTCGAACCCTCGTTAGATTTCCCGGAGCCCGCCTACTACACCACTAGGCCACCAGACCACGGTGATGGGGGAGGCGGGGAAGGCCTATGAAGCTACGGCGAAAATATTGCAAAATGTATGCAAAAACTTAAAATGCTTATAACTCGGCGTGGTTATTGTATCAGCAGCTGAAAGTTACACCAATCGATTTGTCTCGTCGAGCTCTATAAGTGTGCAAATTTTCAAATCCGAATTCGATTCCCAGCTGAGACCATCTCCTTGTAAGCCTAAACATAAGCCGTTGCACTCGTTCATTTTTCAGGTACCGTCATCCGCGTCTTCTCCTTGCCGAAGGGCGACAAGCTGTTCGAATTTCAGCGCGGAATTTCGAGGTAAATTTTCTTGCACTTTTTAAAGCTATCTTTCAGGAACGCCACCATCTACTCAATGTGCTTCTCGGCCGACTCGAACTTCTTGTGCACCAGCTCGAACACGGAGACGGTGCACGTCTTCAAGCTGGAACCGCCGGCAAACAAGTGGGTGGTAGGCTAGCAGAGATTGTTGAGGAAAAGGAGAGGGCAGGCTAGCAGAGATTGTTGAGGAAGAGGAGCGGGCAGGCTAGCAGAGATTGTTGAGGAAGAGGAGAGGGCAGGCTAGCAGAGATTGTTGAGGAAGAGGAGAGGGCAGGCTAGCAGAGATTGTTGAGGAAGAGGAGAGGGCAGGCTAGCACAGATTTTTGCGGAATCCTGGAAAATCATATAGATTTTTTATTCCAGAGACTCTTCCCCCAATCAATCGTCAAACGGCGGCTGGATTGAGTATTTCCAGTCGAGCCTCCACCTCCCACAGGTACAGTAGCTGGGGCACCATTTAGAAAAAAAGCGACCTTCCAGATGAACGACTTGACGTTGAGGGAGCGGTCCTTTGCCTCAGCCCACCTCCCTTCGCCTGGATCTCGGAACGTCGCCGCCATGCCCACGTGAGTCGCTTGGCAGGCTAGCAGAGTTACTTTAGGATCGACACTAACTTCTTTATAAAACCTCAATTTCAGGATTAATGGAATGCCACATCTGCTGGTCGCCACCACCGAGGGCTTCCTCTACTGCTACCGCATTGAGCACGACGGCGGCGAGTGCCATCTGGTGCGACAACATCGGATTGGTAAGTAAAGGGCTTTTTGTCGAGTTTTAAACGTCGCCAAAATCTATTATTATTTTCTTGATCGCATTTTAGGACCCCAGAACAACGGCTCGGGGAAGCAGGGAAGCCCTTCCGGATCGGCCGGATCGAATCGAAGTGGCAGGCATGCTGATGGGGTAAGTGATCTCTGCTCGCCTGCCCTCTCCTCTTCCTCAACAATCTCTGCTAGCATGCCCTCTCCTCTTCCTCAACAATCTCTGCCAGCCTGCCCTCTCCTCTTCCTCAACAATCTCTGCTAGCCTGCCCTCTCCTCTTCCTCAACAATCTCTGCTAGCCTGCCCTCTCCTCTTCCTCAACAATCTCTGCTAGCCTGCCCTCTCCTCTTCCTCAACAATCTCTGCTAGCCTGCCCTCTCCTCTTCCTCAACAATCTCTGCTAGCCTGCCCTCTCCTTTTCCTCAACAATCTCTGCTAGCCACCCTCTCCTTTTCCTCAATAACCTCTGCTAGCCTACCCATAAAAACCATTTTTCAGGCTGACCCCCCAAACCCCAACGACATTGCCGACTTTCCGCCGATGACGCACAGCAGCGGATAACTTACCATTTGCCATTCTGACGAATTTGTAGTTTGTAGCCCAG